TTATTATTATCATTATTATTATTATCATTATTATTATTATCATTATTGTTATTGTAATGAGTGCAGGTGTTTAAGTTGTTGACAGGATCATTTTTATTAGCCATTGCTGTAGAATCTGTTGAAATTGAACAACTACTGGTTGAGCTCTCCGGCATAACCGCTGTCGCATTCACAACTTCCCGCATGGTTTCTTGTAACAATCAACCACCTTGTTACGATATATTATTTTCGTCTAACAATATAAATCTGTATATACACCGATGCGCCAAATTCCTATACCTTCTATATATCATAAGATTGAATTTAAAAATCTCTTCTTGTTTAGCATTGTATCCTTTCACGTTATTTATTATGTTTTTCTTGCGTCATTGCGTATTCATTTTCCTAATACTCCGCAAACGTTTAGATCAGTTTCTGGAATTTATATTGAAACGAAATGTATATTAAGTTGCGATTTTTTCAATTTTTTATATATATTTCGTGTAAATGTGCGCATACACACATGAATTTCTTAATATTAACAAAAACAACAATAACAAGTTTATATAGCAAATGCAGTGTAATTCAACGTTTAGTAAGTAAGTCCGACTAACGTTTATTAATAACGGGACTGTTTAATTCAAAAAACTCATGTAACTCTCCATCTCCAGAAGCAAAAATACAAAAATAAAATTAATTAAAGTGTGTACGTAGATTCTTGTTTCTAATCCCATGTTATTGTTTTTGAATTAAACATTTTTATTGTTATTAGTTATTAAATATGATTTATTTTTTATCAGGTATATGTTCACTCTTACGCTTGATAGTATTTTCATTTTCAAATATATCGTCTGGTACGCACAGTTCACTCGCATACATTCATATATAATATATACGATAAATAGGAAGTGGTTCGACCCATATACATGCAAATATTAGGTAAAAAATCTACAAACTATAAAAACAAATAAGAACATTATAGTCGAACAAGGTCGACCATTAAACGCCCTACATCACATTGTCCAACACAATGCTTATTTTTTTTTGTATGAAATAACATGGACAGACATATGACGGACAGACGGACAGACAGGCTTAGATCAACTGTGATTCTGACTCTCAATTGATCGCTATATTAAAATGTGAGTCTATCTTGAGCCATTTTGCGTGTTACACACAACCGCACTAACTTAATATACCCTGTACCGCAAGTCGTATAAGGTATAAATACTAGGCTAAGTCTTGGCGCAAATACTAGTGGGCCCCAACTAAAGACTTAAGGAGAAAATGAAACTAATTAGTTTACAAAATCGCCGAAGTTGATAGTATATCGGTCAACAATTCCCGGGAGTAAATAAGAAAAAATATTTTTTCAAAATCCACATTCTTCAAGATTAATACAATCAGTGCAGAGTTTCTGTAACGATTTGATATTTCTTTTATAAAGTATCATCGTTTATAGAGAATCATCATTTGATTCAAATCTTGTTCACCGCCAAGAACTTGGGCCACTATGAGACTGAGAAATTGCAACGCCTTGAGAAACAACTTTCTCGTGATCAAATTGTCATGGTTAATAATCAATACCCTGCCTTTTGATATCTTGAGAATATCAACTATAACCATATTGCAATTTTCAATCGATGGACGGATGGACAGATTCTTCTATTGTTTGGAAAAAAAAGAAGAAACAATAGCATTACTATGACCTTCGCAACTCGTAAATAAATCGGCGAAATCATATAAAAAGTTGACAATCGTCGTTTGACGATTAATACTTTTTAAAAATAATATAGATCTTCCTGTTAGAAGCGACATCTATATATTAATTGCAGGAATTATTCATCGATGTGTTCTTCTTCTTCTTCAAGTCTCAGCTTTTTACCGCAGAATGCGATCATTTTCACAAAAAAAGTATGCCACTAAACTTATTTGTAAATCATTACAAACATGATCTACAAACAAATCTAGTACACCAACCAACCTGATTGACTTACAGTCAATAAGTTATGGGATCAGCAAAATTTTAACCAAAATTGATCGCTCTATCTTCTTTGCAAATTTCCATTTTCGTCATTGAGGGCATAAGGTGATCAATTTGTCAAAATGTTTGCAAGGCCCAAACCGGAAACCTCAAACACCCTACAATGGGTACATATTCTTGATCATTGTTAAATTCTTAATGGACTTAGCCATGTATGCCCGTTTGTGCTTTAGTGTACATGTGTATTGTTGGCTGTCTCCTGGTCGCAAAAAAACATAAACTGAGAACACCTGTGCTTTTCCTGTTTCCTTGCTAACTGCTGATAAACTACAACAGGCATACTGTCAAAATTTCAAGCCAAGCTTATTCAATATTATTGAGGATAAAAGTTTAGTTTCTTCCTTTCTTCTGTGCTACTGATTTTTAAGCGCAAAGTAGTAATAGTGGATGTGTATTAAAAATTCAGTCACAGGGCAATATAATTTTCTAACTATTTTTGTAATATTTCAAATTGTCGGCACAATATATTAATTAAAATTATAAAAACATTCTAAATGACAAAAACGACCATATCACCATATATAGCGGGCCCTTGATTGATGTCTGGCATGATTCTGAATTAAGTCTAATATATTCTAATATATATATATTTGTGACGTATTTGACAATTTATCTAAGAATGTTACGATATAGGGATTTGTAGACGACCTTGTTGTTTTCCCCTCCTAATCTCAGCCGTAATACGTTAGACAAGCTATTCTATCCGTTTTATTTCGAAGTACATATAATCTCTTTAACTCTTGTTGTCTATTCGCAAAACGAAATCTGTAATCTTCTCCAAAAAAATGCCAACACCCGACCATCACACTACTTACGTTAACGGTTCCACCATACCTTTTGTAGGAAGTTTTAACTATTTACTACATACTACACTACACTGCACGCAAGTCGCCCCTAAACATCATCTTCGTTCGTTCGTTTCATTTAACTAATGCCTTGAGATCCATATGCGGCCTCTGCATATAATGAAATTATACACAAGTTCAGCAAGACCTTAATTAGAGTACGTTTGTTCACTTTTATTGGACATATTAAAAAGAGGTCTTTTGAAAAACAGATATGTTCTTAGAAGTGCTGTGAGTGTGTCCTTCCGTGCCAGATCTTCCGCTGTTTCTACCAAATTTGAAGTCGATAACTTCAGGAGAATGGTTACAACAGACATTACGTAGACGGACATGCTTAGATCGATTTAGGATTTGATGTTGATCAAGAATATATATACTTCGCAGAGTCTCTAAGACTTCGTCCTGGATGTTGCAAATGTTTTGACAAAATGAATATAGCCCCATCCCCCTTTGGTGATATGTATAAAAACTAAGTTTTGTTAACTAAAGATAATCTGTTTTTTTCGATACTTTTAGTTATGTGTTTTCGCCGTACGTGCGCCTCTTTGAAATTGAACTGTATTTTTTGCTTATAAGTTTATCTTAAGTTAAAAGAAAAACTTGAATTGTTATTTAAAGTAAGTCTTTGTTTTATAAATGTAGTTTTTAATAAGATAAACTTTATACATAGCATCTGTAAAAAAACACTCAAAATAATAATAACAAATTTAAAATCAATAAATACATAAAAGAATCCAATACTAAGCGATAACCTAAACGAATCGCTGACCTACTTAAAGTGCTGAGCATGCGTGACGCATAACGCACAACCCGAAATCAATTGAACACGTGGCTTGCGTGCGTTGCTAAAGGAAGTCATGCATACGGTCAGCGTTAAGAATTTAAAAGTGATTTCGTGGAAGAAGAAGACACTTTCAATTATTCCTCATTCCTCATTAACAATATAATATTCAAAATTGTATTTGGAATCTTTAATGGATTTATGAGAAAAGATTTGATTAACAATACGAATTTAAGGTAAATGTCGAATCCATGAAAATTTTTATATATTTAATATAAAATTAGATGTAAAAAATTAAAAAAATTATTTATTTAAAATGAAAAAACAAAATAAAATCTATGCAAGCAAAAAAAAATTATGTATTTATTATTAGGTGTTTGCAAATATTTCGATCAGCCTCTTCTACAGGCAAAAACGATAAAGAAATGGAAAGAACCAGTGTACGTAATGGTTGAATTCGATCGGTCTTCACCTTCCTCTGCATAATATAACAGTTCTCCATTTAATGTTACTGATTTATTCAGCGTATGCCGACGCTAATCACGGAGCTCTCAAAATTTTTCTTCTTCCAAATTCATTACTGTTTTTGTTCATGCGAAAGAATCTGCTGCCGAAGTCCACCAAACACATTCAAAGGCAATTGCAAAGGTTGTAACGGTTTAAACGTGGCGACACGAATTGACTGAGAATGCCATTTTTTGCCATCCAGGATATACTCTTGCAACTCGGATGGGAAGTTCTCCCGCATCTATCGCATTCAGCAGACATGGCGCGTCCTGATTACTACTTGTTCAGATCGCCGCAGCATGGCTTGGCTGACATACGGGTCCGCAATGTTGAAGAAGTACGAAACGGGATCGGTGGATGGATCGCTGCCAAATGAATGATATCGCTACGTTGCCAAAAACATTGTAAAATGTTGTAGAAAATAATGGAAATTAGTTTGTTTAATGTATATTGTTCCGATTTTTTACTATAAAAGCATTTTTCAAGTGGAGAAGTGATCAAAATTCTTGCAAACACCTAATATAATGCAAAAAAATCTATTTCAAGATGTGTTTCGAGTCCACTTTATAGTTGATATGTAATTTTACACAAATCAAGTAAAGTCTATTTTATTTTAAATAATTTAATTTATTTTAAGTTTTCCCTCCTTGTTGTTGCAATGAAATGCAGATGATCCTGCAAAGTCTAAAATACTAACCATATGATTATGGCGAATACATCACTGTCTTGCTTGTCAAAAGCCACACACGCAGGATTCTTAAAATTTGCATTCACGCACGCACAAGCCAAGGCATGTTATATGCTTATCTTACGTCAATTTTATTTTAACAATTTGTGCGTCATGCGCAACGTATAACGCAATCATTGAGGTGTCAGGACTTGAGGGTCAGGCGAAATGCATTGGGTCCACACTGAGTCTGTAGTAATACCGCGCGTCGAATCATTTGCTGCAAACTCTTCGAATAGCCTTGAAGAAGAGAAGGAAGTAAAACGGAATTTACAGGAAATGAATAAACTATCCGACACAATATATGACGTTCCGTTGCGCATTATACGAAATATTTTTTTATATGATTTTTATTCCAACATTGCAATGCAAGTTATATGTTCAACTATGTGCAAACAGGCAAAGCCCAAATTGTCCATTGGCAATTGGTGCATGAGGCAGGATATAAACACATTGATGGCGTTCATGTTTAAGTCATTATTAAAAAAGAAAAAATAAAATATAAAGGATTATTAACAAAGGTATGAGTTTCCTTGCAAACATCTTTCGTATAAAGACTGAAAGCCAGATTGAATGGGAAATGTAAGCGGTATCATAGATATTCTCCTAAAGGTTGCTCACGCAGCTGTCAACCGGTCATGAACTGGTCATTGTACTGGATATCAGTTTTCTAAAGGAGTCGCAAGAATCGGGCTTTAATCTATTATTTTGATATCTGTATATTTGAGAATGTAACCAAAAAAACAGACATATTTCAGATATACTTCTCTGTCGCCTGCTCTTTGGCATAACAAACATTTAATGTATCTAATAGATCGCAATGGTTGGCAACATTGATTGGGTGCAGAATAAAGGTGACAAATGGACAAACAAACTTCAAAAATTTCGCCTCCAAAAGGATTAATTGTGGAATAAAAAGTAAAAGTCACTTTAGTGAAAACAAAGCCTCCCGCAAAAAGAAAAAAAGTCGAGGAAGAACAAGATCAACTCTCACATACTAAGCGTAAGTATAGAAGCCACAAGTTTCTTGCGTTCAAGTGTAATACCGATGGCAGCCATAAGAGTATTTTAAAAACAAGGCCAAACAAAATGGAAAAGCCTACAATTGGCCAGAGATGCATAACTGCGTTCTTGACTGAATTTTACTTGAAAGGAAGAAAAACATCATTGTTATATTAACAATCAGTCACACTATATGACGACTTGAAGGCTTTACAGGACCGTACTTCTAAAACAATTTCACGGTATGCATTAATATGGAAATTTATACAAACCTCTGTAAGCGAAAACGAGATGTAAAGCAACACAAGAAGCGATCTATCTGTCCTACGTTCAATTACAGATGACAATAAAATAAAACCAGAGCATAACATTGACGAGACAACTAAATGACAATGACTGCAAAACTTTGTTGTTTAAAATTATAATCTATTACTAATAACAGTAATAGTGCTGTTAATTAGCAGCGATTCTATTGCTTGCTCCTTCGTTCTCCTTGTTTGTAAGGAGAAGAATTCTGTTAAAACTCTCTGGATATGCTGTTATGTGCACAGAAGAAATACAGAATTCGCTAAGATTTTCTTTGTTCGAATTATGAAAACAATGTTGGGATATTTCGTCATTTAGTTATTTGCGATCCTAAGACATTCGCAGCGAAGGAGGAATTATTTATCAATATAGCTGTCGCCTACCAACTTAAAAGAAACGAATGTAGGAGCGAGACCAAATGTTTTAAGAGTAGTGAAACAAGTTTGGTTTCACAAATTTGCAAAAAATCAGATACACAACAAACGGAAGGAAATTAACAGGAACAGTTGACAATAGAATTCTACTCGGTTGTAAGCGAATTTTTGCATCCGCTTTGTTTATTTAAAAAGAAAAACAACCACAAAACTAAATTTCAATAAACAAATTCGCTGAATTCTTGATCGAATACAGGTAAGGTAAGCTTTATTATAGCTTAGAAGTTACAGTCGAAAAACCCAGATAGCAAAGATGTTCTCAATCTAGGCTGCACTCCAGCGCTTGTGCTTGTAATGTGCTTTTTCATTTGTAGGATTAGAAGAATGTTTACCTAAGACAGTGTATAAGTGGAGATAGATAAATCGATACGAATTTAATACTGGTAATGAATATATTTACTCTACACATTTTCTAAAGTTTTCTCCTGCGCCAATATAGAAATGCGCCTACGTGAATTTAAAAACGCTGCATTTAGATTTTCCATTCCACAAACCTTAGTCAAAGCCAAGTATAATTTATTTATTTATTTTTTTTTGTTTTGTCTTGAAAAATACCAAAATTCGATTTAGAATCCCGTCCTTAGTTAATAAAAGACGGGAACTTCTTGGAAAAAGTGCTACATGTGCGAGATGTAACTGTAAATTTACTCAACACACACAAAGAGAGTTTAAGAATTGCATTGCGATGGGTCAATGTCGCTAAAGTATATTATCAAAACGGTTGCCGCACTTTATTTATTCTCATAACGTGTTTCTCAAATTATTGTTCCTTTGTGTGTATCTTCGAATTGATAACATTTCTATTTAAATACATTGTTGGTATTAGTTGGGCGGAAGTGAATTACATTTTTCATGAAGTTTCAAAGCATCCCTTATCAATATTTACAAGTCATATGAAATGGGACATGTCTGGGCTTCAGTAATTCTTTGCGATTTCTCGAGCAAATTTACTTCGAGGTGGTGGTAGGGCATGAAAGCTTCCATCTTATTTTCAAGAAAGAATTGTTTTCGCCAAAATTATTAAAAGTGAATGACTTTATAGATCGTATAAACAAACAACGTAACAGAGAACTTATTTGGTAACATTTTTAACGAAACTCTATATACTTGAGAAGAGCTTCGTTAGAGTTGATGATGGCGGATATTGAAAAATGTTGTGCTCATAGAGATTCTTATTTATTTTGTTCTCTCTTGCACTCTCTTTTCGTTTCGCATAACTTTAATGCATTTACGTAAAAATAAGTTTCGTCTTGTATTCCGTACCGTATCTCAATGAGAGAGTATGTAAGCAAAATTTGCTCTCTATTCGTTTAATTTTGTTAATATAACATTTCTCCTCTCTTTTTCTTCACAAACATTAATAAGTATTTACACACATTTGCGTGCTTGTAATAATCGCTTTTAAATACGTCATATTCTGTATGTAAATATGTTTAAAAAAAACAAAAAAAAAAAATTATTTATTTCATATCAATCCATTCTCTCACTTAAAGCTTGAACTACACCGCATTAAAAGCAATAATTTTATATATATATATATATATATATATATATATATATATGTAAATATACAATTAGTATATATTAATTACTATTATATATTCATACAGATACATATGTTAGGCGGCTATAAATACGTATATTATTAAACTTTGTACGCTTTTAATTTTTTATTATTTTTTTTATTTTTATATAAAAAATAGTTTTCACTGATTTTTCTTTTAAAATATCAAATATATTTATATATACATGTTGTGCTTTTACATATCAACATAATTAAGTTACATGTTATATATCTGGAAAAAACAATTAATATGTATAAATAGCCATATGTATGCGATGCGTGTATGCTTGCAATGTCAACAAAACGTTTAAAATGTTAACAAACTTCCGGCACACAACAAACGACCAAAACAACAAACACCTTTAAAAGCTGCAATTCAACTGAAACTCAGAGGTCAGATATGAAAAAAAATATCTGTACTTAATTCCTTTCATAAATTTGCTCTCTTTTGCTCTCATTTGATGCGTTGCTTGCCTTCGTTTGCGATGCAAGTGCAAATGTATATAAAATACATTCGATTGAAACAAATTTCCTACTATCGCTTATTTATTCGTCTCTTATCAATTTGAATGTTTCTTTTTTTTGGAATACTTAAAGCAGCTATTTGTGTTTGGCTGATAAATGTGAAAATATTTAGTGTCGGTAATTTAAAAAATGCTAACGCTCATCCCTTAACGACATATTGTTAGATAATTAAAGAAAGATTTAAGTGTTCGATCTGTGTATAAGTTATCTTTGTCGCACATATGTCAAACACGAAATATCATAGTTTTTAGTAAAGATCCCTATGAAATCCACTTATCTTCAAATAATAGAATCAAAAAAAAAAAACAAAGCGCATATTCGATGCATTGAGGTTTTTTTTTTTTTTGAAAAGCCAAACTCCCTGCACGCTATGCGCTGTGCATAGAATGGAAAGAGCGTATTGGAAGTGGTTTGTCAAGTTTTCTTGCAAAAAAAATCTTAATTTCGGGTGTTTACTGACTGCGGTCAAGCTATTTTGCATTCAACATTTACTCAATTTCTTTTCCGGTGTACGCGAGAGAGAGAGAATTTATTCAAATAATTAGCTTCTTACCCTTACTTATGGAAAGATTTAAGATCAAAAATAAATATGTATGTATATACATATTTGTATATTATATTCAATAAGATTACCTGATTGCAACACACAATCACAAAGCACTTATACCCTATGGCACTTGTGGTAAATGTGCATTAAATTTGTGAGGTTGTTCATAGCCTCCGAAAGATTTTTACATAGACCTAGCTATTGTTCTACCGCTGTTTTGTTGTTTTCTCAATGAATTAATAACGAATCTCTCTCTCTGTCTGTCTGTCTGTCTGTCTGTCTGTCTGTTCCTGTTATTTTTCCCATGCGCAACTTTCAAGATCATTTAATGAAATTTAGTCCTTAATCAAGATCACTCCACATATTTTTTAAATGAATGGTTATATGAAAAAAAATAGTGTTTTTGTTTACTAAATAAATGTGAAAATTTTGAATGGATATGGATGCTTTTCACTCCAATGTAAACCTTTGAAAGGTTTTGATTATTTTATTGCGTTTGGTGTAAAATATTGAGACATTTGAACTTATTGTGGTAAGTTTGGAGTACGAAGAGGATTATGTAAGAGGTCTTATCAAAATTGAGACGTTATACTTATCCATATATATATATATAGTTTGTAGTTATTACATATATACTTGTTAGTTTTTTATATTATAGCATGTAGTTAGTAGTATATAGTTAATTTTTTACATATAGTATGTATATATATACAAGTATATATAATTTCTTACTTTTGATAAGGCTTCTTACATAAGTAGGCGCCCGAGACACAGATCTTCCAAACTTACATTTATTATGGTAAATATAGAGCAAGAATCGTATTCGGCAATGTGTTGGGTAGTTAAAAGTCGGCCTAGTCCGAACGAAATGTATTAATTTGTTATATTCATATTAACGTACAAGTATTGCTGGTAGAGACGTAAATTAAAAAGCTTTCAATAAATTCTACATAAACAAAACGCTTACATTTATATAAGAAAAACAGCGTAATTTAAAAAATCCAAACTTTAAAGTGTTTTATTTGCATCTACATTGGACAGATCCGATTTTCTTAAAACTCATTCTCCGATGCTATAGCTAGGATAGCAAAACGAAATTTTACAGTTTTTTCAATTTTTTTTGTGTTTATTTAGAAAATGTAATCGAGAGCCTATCGATTTTGAATGAATAATAATAATAAACTTTTATGTAAATATTTTATGTTTTTTGTTTTCTTTTTCTACCCATAAGATATATAAATATACATGTGTTGACCCATAAAAGATATTCTTTTAATATTTTTGATCAAATTCTAAAGATACAGTTTAAAACAGATGGTGGGAAATAGGTGTTTATTTAATTAAAGGCGAGCCTCTAAAGATATTTACCTGCAAAGCATGAGAGGAACACTTATCGAAGTCTAATAGCGCGGCGATATGCTCTTGCTATGTTCACAAGGACTGCACACTAATATATTTTGGTCAATCGGAATAACAGAATCATTTTACACATGCTTCTATCCAATACTGGCGTCCCTTGAACTTCACTGCAATTAACAAACAACGGAAAGTTCTCCCATCCTTTCCCCACCCCATTTTCAACAATTAAACTTCACAAATGTGGGATTAATGTGTATTCTGTATTAAAGGTTTTATCTCTGGCTTCAAAATCGATTAAAATGCAAAAATTATCTAAATGCACTCTATATTAAGAATATAGATCAGTTACATTAGGTTAGTTTTTTTGTTATAGCAGATGCTATACAATTACTTGTGAGAGGGTTGTTACCAAATTATGTTTGGAAAACATTCGAAACATTGTTGTATACTAGCAGTAGTTACATTAGTCTCTACGCCCACGTTGTGAGGTCTAATTGTGGAATAGTTGAGAAGCACGTACAAGTTTATAGCGTGCACGAAATATCATTCGGAGAAGTTTGGTGGCAAAATTCATATAAAAATGCATAAATAGATTACTGTAAAAGTTGAATAAAAATTCCGAGCTTTCGTTTTTTACTGACTCATTTATGCATTGCAATTTATTTCATAAGTATTGTAAACAAAGCGGTCTCCAAACTTTATATCTCAATGCCCCTCTATGCACTATCGCAACTGAAATATGTGGGGAAAAAAAAAATCAAAAGCTTCGTTAATAATTCGAAAACATATGTTTTTTTTTTTTTTTGGTTTCAGATCATTTAAAAGGAAAATGCAAGCCTGGCAGCTCGCGAAAAACGATGCTTATAATGTCTTCACCTCTTTTACAGCAACTGGCCACGCTTTGATGCCTTTCGACTTTTCCTGCTAAGCCCGCCGATAACGGCGACAGAAGCAGTAATTATGAATTTATCGGAAATGGCCCCAAAGCTCACAGGTAGGACGTCTCTCAAAGTAATTGGATGAAAATTGAAGCAGTCAACGATACGGTAAGATCACGAGGCATGATTTGGAGAACGTTTAAATTATCACTTTCGACAACATTTTATTGTCACTTCTAATTCTAATGCGTGGTCTGTCGCGTACAATTTCTCTAATGGATTCACGTTATACATCTGCTGGCATTACAGAATTCGATTAAAAATTGTCCCTTCTGTCATTGGCTTATGACTACTACGAAATGCAAAATTAATCAATGCCAGACATATAGTTCTACGGAGAAGCATTCAGACGATCTAAATGCAAAAAATGAATCCAAAAATTTGATTAATAAAATCTGTTCAGTTAACAAAGAAAAAAGCCTAAACGATTTATTTTTAATGAATTTCTACACATACAAGTGAATTTGTTGGTCGATAATTTGAATACGGGATCAAAGTATACAGTGGACAAGAAGTAGTTGTATTTGCCTTAATACGCGCTGCACTTGCTCGCAACAAATCGGAAATTGTGTCATAAGTATTTCATATTTTATACATCAATCTTAATGATAGGTAAAAATTGCCGCCTCCTCCCAAACGAATAAAAAAATAATGTGATGGAAGGAAGTCGGGTAAGATAGGATGACCCACGGAAGCTGAAGTTGAAAGTGATCTTTTCGCACGATTCGATGATGTGTTTGACACAAAAAAGACGTTTACAACTTGGAACAATTCTTGCTGGCAGGTCACGATTACCATGATCCTGCATGGATTGCTTTGGTCAGTTAAGATTAAAACCGTATCTATAGATCTACAATAAAAGTTTATCTAATCCTTGTACAAGGTGCAGTCAGTTCTTCTTTTCTTAATGCTATTCTGGAAAATAAAACAGATTTTCGTCTTGAATCCCATTTATTTTTCTGACAGCCTAGAGGCTTAAACGCTTGTTATTCAGTTTTAAAAGTCTGGTTTACACGAGTTACATACATATATCAGGTATGAATAAGTACATTCCATTTTTGAAGCGCTCGTTAGCGTTAAAGCAGCGGAAAAAAATCCCTCAAAAAATTGATATAAACTGAAGGCGAGACCAAAAGGAATAACTTATGTAAGCTCCTTTATGGTTACGCTATGCGACTTCGTATGCATTCAATTTTTGATTCATATCCACCATCTCATTACGCAGGCCTAAAAAGATTTATTTCTTTATCACCTAAATAAGACTGACACCAGTGTCAATATAGTGTGTGGCGAAGAAAGGTATCCAGTTATCTATCTTTACAATTATCTTTGCGTATCTTGACTTTGTCGCATTTTTTGTGAATTCAAATCGGGAACTTTGTAATCGTTGAAACCGAATGCATCTATAAAAAAAAAATTAAAAATATATTTTTAAATATATTTTACATATCCACAGATTGTTTGTTAACGACGCCGGACGAACTTGGCGCATTCATTAACTGATGCAGTGACCGCAGTGCATAGGCTCTGTGAACGGCAATTTCATAGGCACTCAAGTTATTTTCCTGGTCTGATGCAGAAGCACTTTCCAAGCACGCTGAACTCCTTTCACGTCGCAATAAATTAAATGTATTTTGAAACCGAGATGGCGTACACATAATAAGTCTCAATAATTCTCGGAAAGCCACATAGATTCTGGTGGTTCAGTGGCGAAAAATGTTATCTATATCCTGAAATGCGTTGTTAATCGTCCTTTTCGATTGCATGGATATCAATCCTTTATTCAAATCCAAAGAGAGTTTCTCCAAGCCTGGTAGCTTAAAATAATGTAGTCCTTCAGTGTTTGGTTGAAAGTTTCGATTAGTATCTACTGGTGAAAACATCTACTGGTAGAGGCCTCTTGAAATCTGGAAAGTTGAGTTCAAGGACGTGTAGACGCACAGCAGTGTCAACATCATTCCGGTTGCAATGAATGAAAATCGACATTGGTCCGAGAAAATTTAGGCTTAGGTAAAATTACAAAATAGCGCCTGATAAGTGATTTGTGAAATGTGCTTCAGAAAGTGTTATCATTGCGCCAGAAAAATTCGAATGCAATTTTAAATACATATTATATAGGAGGCATAAAGAGATAAAAATTAAGGAAATTTTATTTTAAGGATTTTTCAAAACAATTAAGATTTAACAAAAGAAGAAGAAATGAAGGAATGAATGAATGAATGAAAGGAATAGGAAAGCTTTATCGGTTCTGCTATAGAATGCATAAAACTCAACATCACAAATTGAAATTAATTATTAAGCAATTACTGTCCAAAGAGTCGAATGATAATTAGTTGAAATATATATGAATGAATTAATTTCAATGAGTAAAAATTTCTACCTGTTTATGTTTTTCAATCAACATCAATTTATACAATATTTTATATCGCCATTTATTCCCCGAATCTCTAATTAAAGAATTGTGATCAATAGTCGCGGTAACACTGGTTCAATGCTTACATCGGGGATTTTCATTTATTCAAAAGTTAATTCAAATAATTTTAAGTAAAGGAACGATTTAGGATTATAAGCGATTTTATTGTGATTTACATTAGCACTCGTAAGAATTTAGTATAAAACTACTAATAATTGATCAAAGGAGAGCTAATATAGGGGTTTGCCGGAAAAATACGATATTCTAACGATAATACTTAATACCAATGTGATACCTAAAAGTCATGCTCGTCAATAGCGACCGTGAGCGTGTCAAAGTCAATTGGGACGTTGTTGGCGTAATAGAAATCTCAAGAAAAATAATCCAAATCTGCTTATTACAAGGACTCCCATGATATATAAATGCCTCCCATGTATTATGTCTTGTGCATTTGAGCACAATATGTCATTAGCTCACACGAACGCAAACAGATATCCAGTGAACTTAAGTTCAATGGTTTCGAATTTTTTGCAAATGGGTGGACTTTAAAAAACGAATTTGGCCTTAGCTGAATATAAGTACTGACTTAATTAAGTTCTATGCGTGCGCGTCCCAAGGGTACGGCGCCATTCCCAATTCACTGCCGCATACTGGATTATTATTTTCGCCGCACGGATGAAAATGTGGCCACTTCTTAATGATACTGTAAACATATGCACCGGGACTTTTCGATTTTCTTGTCTTGTGAATTATGATCAAAAAAAAAAAAACAAGAGATAAGTGTACATAATATAAATACATAAGTATGTATATACCTGATTTTGGGCCACTAGCTTGTAATCAAGAGCAATATATTTATTTGTGAGCGCGTGAGCCAATAGATATTTAGTAGCTTCCACTTGTCGCTTCTCCGGCTTATGGCGTACATAGTCACCCATGAAAGTGATAGCCAGTGTTCTATCTGCATATGTGTTTGCCCAATGCCAACCGCGACCGACATATATATACCCATCCCCACTTACCTATGTAGAATGTAAACAAAAGCAAGAATACGAAATCGAATAGGAAATCCAAGCCAGTTCAAAGGAGCTTACATAAAAATTCGACTGTATATCGGGCAGAGCCTTTTCGGCAATAGCAGCATCTTGAATGCTACGCATTTTAATCGAGCATTTGTAAATATTGTAACAAGGCTGAGATTGTACGCCGATGTGCGTGATCATAACATACGGTATGGGATGTTTTAATGGTATTGTTAAATTTTTTGCATTTTCCGATGAACCCCACTGATCACGTTCGACTACAAGATGTCCATCGCCTAAATTTGGAACTGCAATACTTTAAATATAAAATCATTCATATCCAATAGCCAGGCAAGTGTAAAACGTTATTGCTTACATGCATCGTGCTCATAATTATTACTGAAATATATGGCATGTCCGTCAGATTTCGGACGCATCAGTTCAACATATAAAATAATGCCGACAACCAAAATCACTAATATCAGGAGGAGTATTAATAGTTTTGATGTGAACGTGACGCGTTGCGATACTGTCGTGCTCGTAGTCGTTCTCGAACTGTTAATTGCTGATGAAGAGAAATTTAAGTTAAAGAGTAACAATCAAAGATGTCATCCGCTTAAATTGATCATGAAAATAGTTTTAAAGGATCTCATGGCATTCACCGCGACGTCACTTATTTGTTACATGTACATGCCTTGCCCTGTTAAGGGCAATTGTTTTTAAAATTGGTGCAAGTCTTTCGTTTATGTACATCTGCGCAAACCTAATATACATACCCCGGACGGGTCACTATAAGTACGTTCAGTATGCTTTCCTAAATTCATTTTTTCAAATTCAATAAATACTGAGATGCTAAGCCAGATGCCGCCAAAAATTTACAATCATCATGTTTATCTATTTTAGTTGGCGAGTATCACGCATCTTGCCAAGATAAATGGCATATGATTTCTTTTAGAAGACTTACAAGGATTCCTTGCGGTGTTCGAACTATTCATTATAATTCATTTGACGCGATTGAACTTTAACCCCTTATCATATCATTGTCGTAAACTTGATGGAATTTTTTTTTTGTTTTTTTTTTGTTTAAACCTATAACAAATTGTCCATAGTTGAACTATATATATATCATAGGTATATATCTCATAGGTTTATGAGAGTAAGTAAAGACAAAAAAAAAAAAAAGATTAAAAGCTTTAAAATTTATAATGAAAAGCTCCTTATTATTGCACGTGATATCTTGTAAAATAAATGTAGATTGAGGTAAGTATTTTGATAGCGGAGTGAAATTAATTGATTACTTGCCACCGTTAGCTTGCATGGAACGTGCTTCGACTGTAGCATCCATATATTGATAAATAGTTACAGGTCCTTGATATTGAGTCATTGGACCGATTACCACATCGGAGGAATTCGATAGATTTATGACACTCGAAGGCGGTAACGTCGGAGTGGTATATGCATTTTGTGGACTATTTGCCGGTAACGAACCACCACGAGAACCATTGTTTGCCGAATTCTGAGCTGACAAACTCCATAGAGCGTTATTAGCATTTGTACTTGCGAAAGGATTCCGATCCGTATTGTTTTGTTCAAACATTTCTTTTGTTTTGTTTTTATTTTTCAATAACTACAACTTGAAATTCTTGAAACTTATAAAGATTTTGCAAAATACGTGCGCATACGAATGTAAATATTGGTATATGCTTTATAATTAATTAATAGTGCGATCCGAATGGAATATCAACTTCAACTGAGGCTAATATACGTATATACAATATTTAATTTATTTCAATCAGTCACTTACTTACTTAACAATAGTGAGACGAGTAAACCTGTTACACACTTATTCACTCAATATCGTAAAAAATGTAAGGAAAAAAAAGTATATACATATATATATATACATGTTCAGCTGACCGTGTCATTAAGGGAACATTTACTTAGCATCTACGAAAGACAACAAGTAATTCCATCAGCACGTGTGTGTAATGTCGAAAAGAGTGCCTAAGATTCGATTTAAAGCACTTGTTGGGGGACTTTCGTGTAATTTATTCATAATTTATTCGGTGAGTGCAAATACGTGTACGCTTGCTTACTTAAAGCAAATATTACAAACAATCAATCAAACTATTACGAATATATCACTGAGTATTGCTGAGATGGAAAATTTGACTGAGTCTTTAAAGGTTCGCTGATCAATATCGGTATCTACGTAGCGGCATCATTTCACCGATAAATGATAATAAATAAATTAAACGCAATTATCGTTTGGCCATGCTTTTATAGATATTCCAAATAAAAAAGAGTTATTTAACGTTGCGTTCTGATCTTCAGATGACAAAGTGTGTAACAATCGTATAATGAAATTTTATGCCAATCCGTGTCCATGAAAATCTCTTAATCTTAGCTCAAGTAGCTTGGGAAACGGTTTTCGCGTAGCCAAGAACCATTTTCATTACTAATACATTAACATTGCTGCATTAGTAGGCAGTGTCACAAACAAATTGATGGGAACTTTAAATAGCGCCGATTATATGAAAGAAGCCTAAATAAAACAATAAGAAGCGTCTTTTATGATATATATGATTTAAGGAGATGCAAGGTAAACATGAAACCAACGGATACGCATTAAGGGCTCGAGTAAAAGGATACATCTATGACTTGAGACAATGCACTGGAATTGAGAGAGAATGTAAATAAACAATAAATAAATAAAAGCTATTCCTATAACCTCTTTGCCATCACTAGTACTCTTCTTGTTCTTGTTCTTCTTCTTCTTTTGCTGTTCAGCAAATCAACAATCAAAGATTCGCTCTGATGTGTATTACTAGTACTACTATTACTGACAAAGTGAGGTAGCTCTCATACCATAATAAAGAGCCGCTTACGTTGTAACAAAGCGGCGATTTAGCGAACCGAAGACGTCTGGCTGCTGCTCACCGCTGCACATTCGTTTGCATTTGCTGAAATAAAACTAAACTAAACTAATAAGATGAATTATTACTATTCTGTCTTCTTCATACTTTCGAAATTTGTTTCTTCGTAACTATGTTTTGTTGTTTCAAAAATGAAAAAAATCTTACACGTAGCGATCCTTTTCAAACGGAGAAACCATCGCCTCAAAGGTATATGATGTAAAAACTTTGAACAACATCTGAACTAAGTTCACCATGGAACTTCACCATTCGACCTTTGACCTAATTACACTCCATTATTCCGTTTATTCCTTGTGGTATACGATAGATTATGTTTGCATGGATGTATGTAATACTCAGAGGGACTTGAGATAGAACCACCTCTTCTTAGAATCGTCGTTTTAAAATCTATTTATGTTTGTGTTTCTATGTCTATACGTTTGTTTTTGTGAAATAATCGTGTTTGTAAAACAATCGTATAGACGTATTTCGTGTGTAGCGTCAGCCTGAAACAACTGTAATTTGTGAACTAATGGAGAGAATGTCATGGAATGCTAATGCATTTTAAAGGTTGTTATTATCTACGAATCGCAGGCCATATGATAACAGTGCAGCGATTTGTCACTTCCACTTCTCGGATAACGTCATGCCTGCCCGCAGCGACCAGATTCGTTGATTTCGTTTTCTTTTATAACCGTAAGCATAGGTGCAATATCATCGGACATGTAAAGCTCTTCAACTGAACCTGCGCGGATAGTCCAACCGATTGAAAGAACAGCTTTTTTAAAATGCATGCGCCCACCAAGGAAATGTTTCGAATCGACAACTTGAGCGCGCGCATCTCCATTACCGTAACCTTGAATGTTATCATCGTTCCGCCAAACAGGAATTTTTACCTTTTTTGCTTTTTTAAGCCTATCTTCTCGTTCATGTTATTGAGATGTATACACGCAAGATATTACGAGCTTTAAAGTAAAGATTGGATCGAATCGAATTCTAATTTTGAAAAATTATCATTAATATGAAAAGGAACTGGCAATTGTCGAAACTTATCTTATTATTTGTCTCATTTCTGCATAATAATTTTATATAAAAGATTTGACTTGAATCGACCAATTTTTCCACACCTCCCCATATAACATTTCGTAGGAAAAGTGTTGGTCTTTATATCATCAAAATGTGTAATATTTAGATTAGCTTTTTGAAGCCCATACCTTAAGTAAATCGTTATAAAAAATCTTTGATCTTTTGTTAAATTTGGGTCAAGTTACTCGGCGTTTTGCGCTCCCTTCAATATAACGACTGCCATGAAAAATATGCCTTTACATCAGAGCAAGATATAAGTTTTGGTATTTTATAAGGCGCAACTAGCGTAAAGCACTTAATGGATGGTTGGCCTTACCCGACCATGTGTTTACTTGCTTTTTATATACTTTGAAAATTCCATTCCAGAAATACACATCAAGAAGCTTACCAATTATCAGTGGCCAACATGAATACCAGAATTGCCGGGCATAGAGGGACATAACTTTTCTCTTCCTTGAATCAAATCTAAAATTTTATAGCGTTTACTTTAGTTCAGAGTTTTAAGCTTGGACTTGAATTTTATTTTTAACAATATTCAAAATTTTACCTAAGGCGAAGATAATTTTTTATTTATTAGTTCGAAATATTGACCTAAGAGTTATCAAAGCGTGTTTAAATATGTTGTGCGGTGCGGGTAAGTTCATGAATCATCTTTTGACTTGCTCTAGCAATTTTTTTGACTTCGGGGAAAGATAGTCACTAAATGATAGCGGGGAGTAGTGTTTCCGATTTTCGCGATATTGATATTTATATGAAATTTCTTTTCTTTGCTCCTGACTGAGATTGCCAGCTGAAAGGTAATCTATCTCGTTCTGCAACTGCTCTTTTCTTGTAATTTGCGTCCATCTTGAAAGCCGAATGGAATTTTTTATATGAGAGTGTTTTAGCAATTATTTAAGATATTTACATTAATAGTGATATAGACGCCAGGTCACGCGATTTAATGGAGAGATTTTACTACCTTTTAATATATATATATATATATATATATATATATGATAAACATGAGTAAATATATATATGGTAATCACCTAGGACAAAGACACACACGCACACACGAGGTGTAAGAGACAGAGAGAGAGAGAGAGAAAGAGAGAGAGAGAGAGAAAGAGCGAGAGGCATAGAAGCTAAGCTACTCTATCACAGTAGAAAAGAAACACAAATCTATTTGCATGCTTTACGTGTGAGCGTGTGAATACACCCGTATTATCAAATCAACATCGAAAAAGAAAGTTCAAACGCGGTGAATTATTTAAGTATATATATATATATATATATATTCTTAATCAATATCAAATTTTGAATCGATCTATGCATATCGGTCTATTTGGCAACCGTTGTCTTCTATGTTCTTTGGTATTGAAAATGAGTCAAGTCGGTCGAAGGTGATATTTACAGTAAAACATAACCTGGACTGATCGCTGTTTTTGGCGATTTTCTTTGCTTTCACAACTTTGAACAGATAGAACGATAAAAATTTCCACGTATATGGAAAGTCGATCATTCAAAAAGACGTCTACGTCTAACCAATGGCAAAATTTCTTTGCTTTGATTTTTTTTTTTTTTTTTTTTTTTTATAATAAATATGGTAAAGGTAGAAAAGATTCGGTAATTTTCCTATGTAATTGTCTCATTTATCTACGTATCCTTTTCTCTGGATCATCTTTTGCCGAGTTGACGACAGATAATAGCCGCTGGGGGTTCAGATCTGCAGGTTATGGTGAATGGAACAGCTATGCATGCTTGCTGGTCATTAGTTTTGCTACGCTGTGAGTAAATGCGGCATCGCAGTGCGCGGTTAGCTTTCTCACGCCTAAATCATGACTCATTTTTTAAGAGATAAATAATGCAAAGATGATATTAGAAAATCGAAGCTTTTAATATGAATACTTACGCTTATTGTCACTAATAAACAGTATTTTGTTCATATTAATGTATATTCACATACATGCAGAGATGCGTTCGTATGTATATTTCAACAAAATTTATTTAATAAATTTCTATTAAAACATAATTTTCCAACATTTAAAGTAAAACATAAAAGTATGTATATATATTTAAATACATATTTATATACATATATTTATATACATACATATACATACATATATATATATATATGTATATGCTATATACATGTATATAAATATATATGTACATAAATATACATATATATATATATATATGTTAGTATGTATGTTTATATACATATATATATTTATATATGTATACAATAAAATATATGCTAGATGTGAACAACATTTTTGGGAAATAAATTTCAACATAAATATGTATTATATATGAAGCATACACCTACAAATATTCATATACAATAATCATAGTAATGATAAGAGAGCGCAAAAGTTGCTCACATTATCTTGCAAAAAAGAAAAAAAAAACAAAAAAAAAAAAAATACAATTATAAAAATTACAAAGTACGTAAATTAAGTGAGATATATGTTGTGCGGATTGCATAACATCCGAATTGGAAATTCGTAAAAATATATTAAAAAAAAAAAGAAAAATAAATTTCATTAACATACGCTATTGCGTAGATACAACAAATCGTTACATTTGAACTACGAGCGAGGAGCACTATTCGAAATAAATCCTTACAATTGCGTCAATTTTTCCCTTTCTTCTTTCTTTGTGCTTCTTATTTTCAATTTAAATTTTCTCTTCTTCTTTTTTCTTCTCAGAATAAATGAACCTAAGACCTGATCTGAGCTCCTCTGTAAGTATCGTTTTTTAAAGAGTTTTAAACCCGTTTTCCTGGCCTGACTCGCTCACTCGATTCGGGTTATGGCGTTGCATGCGTTGTATGACTGTGTTTGTATGCATCTAGACGACCAATCGATGCGATATATGCGAATATATGGAAATTTATATCAAATTTATTTACTTCAAATATACGAAATTGTACATAAATCAAAAATAAACGCCGGACAGCACTGATGCATTCATTTTTTTTTTTTTTGTCGTCTACCTTGGGTTCCTAATTGCACTTTAATTTAACGGATCGGAACGCGGCCGAAAACACAGAAACATGTACCCAGCCACGCAAGACAATAATTTAAATATAAAAGCATACGTGCACACATCACACACATTCATTCAAAAACATAAATGCATTAAAGTGCTTGCATCTACCGATCGAGTGTCGAGGCTCTCTGTTTCTCCCATTCCGTGTATCGTTGAGCTCTTTTCTTAAATTCCCATTACCCATTTTTCACTGGTAACATGAAATAAATAAATATATTGATTGCACACACAAACACATACACACAGGTACACGTATGTGTGAGCTTAAGGAAATGAATGCATGCTAACGGGATCAGTTAAAGTAATAGGAGGAAGATCACAATTGTCGAAATATACGTTCGGTTTTTGACATGTGTGAGTTTTGTTGTTGTTGTTGTTTTTTTCTGTTTTCTGTTTTCTTTTTTTTTTCTTCTTTTTTGTTTTACATACATAATATATAATTTGCGCCTATATAAAACGAAAACTATTAAAAATAGATAATTGCAACTACTCTGCTGTGGTTAAATCGGCGGACATTTTTGGTTTTATCTCAATCGAAAATGCATGCGAACACCGCTAAGCAATTCCAACCAAAGTTTTCTAAGCAACCGGCCTCTTGGTTATTAGCGGCACTCTTCTCGGCACTCCTCATTTTCTTTGGGTAGTTTTTTGGATTACTGCGATCGCTAAGATGTATGGGCATTTTAGCGAACTCCGGCCGGGGAGTGCGAAATTTCTCTAGTAATTCGCTCTGCTCCAGTGTCAAATTCTTTGATTTCCTACCTAAAGTCGATGGTCAAGAAATTTGTTGTTATTTTAATTCTTGCTTTTTTTTTTTTTTTTTTTTTTACATTACCTTCGATCATATCGTTAACAAGTGGAATTTCCGTTGGATTTAATAGCTCGACACGATCACAAGCTGTTCTAAATTCATGAGCGCTCATTAAAGCGTAACGGGGCATATAACAAAGGGGGCCCAAAACTTTTCGCCTATTTTCGGTGTTAGCCTCAAGATTTTTGCGTCTACACTCTGCTGTACTCCAATCGGCCAGGCAATTAAATAACGTTCGCTCCGAACTTAGCTGCAAAGCTTCACGTTTCGCAATCATTTCCAATTCTTCGAAACGAAGTTCAGTCAATTCTTCCTTGGCCAGCACTAATTCGGCATGCATATCAATTAGCTGTAGAGCATTGTTAAGCAGGGCTACACCGTAGTCTTCGGCAGTAAATGGATTCGGATTTGGGGCGGGAACGTTTGTAGAATTCAAATTGAAATTAGAATTCGTTGTAGCGATTACCTGAGCTTTTCGTTTGTTCTTCTTAGAGGCGGATTCTTGTGTCGTTATAACGGCACCTAATTGGTATTGATTAGAGACTTGTACCGCCTGATAGAACCAGAGACAACGAAAAACATCTATTACGGTGGCACTTGTTAGCTGAAGGTCTAATTCGCGTGTGCAATGAATTATCTGTAAAATATATTTATATATATATACATATATATATTTGTGATTAAAATCCGTATTAATGAAATGTTCTACGAATTGGAACTAGAATCGAGCATACCAAATCGGGGCAATTGAAACGATCCGCTAGTTCCAGTATTTTCAGTATATGTAAATGGTCGCGATATTTTACAAATTTTGTTTCCAAAAAACGTATAATTAATTCGAAATCATGTTTATCTACATTTGAGACTTGGAAATGATTGTCACCTTTGCGGCCACTATTCGGTCCGGCATGAATCAATTTGGCCAATTCGACGCTATTCTCCAATACTGCTTTTCTCTCGCATCTTATCATGTAACGGTCATCGCCGTTAACCACAATAAAATCGATATAAGGACTTGGTATTATCGGTATGCCGGCTGAGACGTTCGTGTGCGCTCGCATATAAAATGAAGGCCGCGCTATAGGCGGCTTTGTTACTGAATGAGAGGAACCGCCATTTAAACTTTCATTATTTGGATTATGCTGGCCATCGGACGAAAGACCGAAAGGTAAAACCATTTTCATGTGTTCCTTTCTTCACTTCTGAAAATCAAATTGATACTCGTTTAATTCAGTCACACCTGTTCGTCATTCAGGGCAGTGTTTGCTAACGTTGTTCTGAAATTATTAAAAGTTAAAAATAAATCACACACATACACAACACACTAATGCAATTCAATATATAATACGTAATAGTCTGGAATATAAATAAATGCTACGTAATTACTGTTCAATGGCGAAATAAGCGTGCCGAAAAGGAATAACATGTTCGTATGTATATTGATATATGCACTTGGCCGCGCGACGCAGTCATGCTATGCTTTGCACGCCTAAGTGCAAACGTTTATTGAAAACTCTAAAATGCTCATATGTTAAAAGCAATGAAGAAACCAAATAAAGTTCGGCTTGATTAACCATCGCCCCTCACATACGTAACGTAACTAATATGGAGGTCGTTAATGCAACAAAATTCTCTGCTTGTTGTTTAAATTTCATTTCCATTGAACTCCATTATTTAAAGGGGCTTTTCAGTACATTCAATACGAAATATTGCTGCACGTATTTTTACCACATCGACCTTAGCCTTAAATGGTTTTGCTTGAACGATGCTTGAATTTGTTCGATGTCAATGCGCGTGATCTCTTATTTCGAAGTTATAAAGGACTTAGCGGATCCATAATTCGATTAATACAAGTCACGCTTATTTACTCTGCACTCATTCCAGCCAAGATTAGAATAGAAATCGCATGTATAGGCGGGGTCCGGAGATCCTTGACGCCGTTAAACATCGACGTAACACAAGCCTGTTGTCATGGATGTGATCAATGAATGTAAAAAAATATTCAAGATCAAGATCAAGACATTCTCAGTAGATCATAGATAAGGTAGGCTAAATAGTGGCCCACGGCGAAAGATCGGTCCTTTCTTTGACAAAGTTTCGTCCGTCCTTTGGTCCTTATATAGACTAACACACGTGTATATCTTTGTGTTTACAACTCTTTGTGGTGTTTTTTGCGGGGTAAAATATAATAAACAAAACTCCCTCTCGTTTCTGCCGAACTAGCTAGCTCATCAATAACACGTGCACATACCCTTTACAATCTCAAATCCCTCAATTCAATAAAGATAAAAATGCGATGTAGACGGAGATAAGGATATACACACAAACTGTTTTATAATAAAATGTGTATAGTAGATTATATCACCGCGTTTTACACACTCACATAAGTACTACTACGTTATACCTTTCATCACGCCCACGACCGCATATATAGGAAAAAACATCAAATATTTTTAGAACAAAAAATTATCAAAAGATGACTGGGGCCGCTTACGATCGGATATCGTAAAAATTGTGATATATACGTAATTGAGTTCCACAGCGAGTTCTCTAGTGGACTTCTAATTGCTTTACCATGTTACGGGTCATATAAAAAATCTTCGCGGTTTTTCCGTGCTTTCGAGCTCCTCTTTGTAGCCTGCTCCTTTCAGATGATTGCCCTGCTCCTGAAAGCTTATGTGCCGGTCTTGCTTCTTTAGTTGCAAAATTTCAGCGGGATGCACCTTTCACATCGAAATTTCCGAAATGGAATCGAGGAAACAACACTTGGATCCTGGGCTCGTTCACTCACAGCATTCTCACCGAACACTTTACAAATTTGTCAACGAGCTTTACCTTTTTTTGTAGTAAAAAAGCATCACATAGCGTATTTTAAAATCAATGTAACTTTTCACACGAACAAAGAATTAGAAAACTATCTTCACAAAAAATGTCTATATGTAATTGTTAACATGATTCCGCGGAAAAAACCGCAAAGACTTTTTATTATGAGCTAATATAAATATTACATATTTATCAAGGTCAGTTTAAGTGTAAATGTGAACGAAAGAATCCTATATAGAGAAGAAATCTGCCTCGGATGAGTGAAATTTTGTATTAATTAATTACTGCTCCTATATTATATATGTATTGCACCATCTCGCGCTATATATTTTTATTTTCTGTTTAATTATTTCTCTTGCTTTTCTTCGGCAAAACTTTTTATTACATTAGCCCGACCTATGCAAATAGCAAAAGCGATCCAAATACTAATAATCTCAACACGTGCACATTCTTTTGTTTTGCATAATAAATATTGTTACGATATTCTCTTTTGGATACTGTTCGTATCGCTAGATCGTCGCTATGCTTTTCAAGAGAAATACACTGGCACGTCTTCATTACAACACTGTTTTATTTACCAATCAATTTATTTCATAATTCGTTTCATATAAATATATCAATAAGGACAGGAGTATTTACATTTTACTTTGGCAGTACTCCCGACTTCTCAACTCTAATATTCTTTTTCTCCGTCTTCCGTAAATAGTTTATTTACATACATTTTTACAAGCATATTGCTATTAGCCAAGTTCATGACTTGGTTTTTTTTATCTTCGTTAGCTAAACTTTTTCTTAGGCCGGCATATGCACGTCGCGCCGCGAATTTGCGCTTGGATTTTCTCCCTCTAGGAAACTTATTTTCTGGGAAAATCGATTAGTTAAAATGAACTGGATTTGGGACTTCCGCAACAATATTTACTGAATAAAAAATCGGCGATTTAGATCGAATTCTTGGTATGGAATCATCATTTGCTCTAATGTTGGGGGACCTATCTTTCTCACTTGTTTATCTTTTCAGGACCATCTTAAATTAGAAATAAACGGAATCGAATCAGGGATGTTCTTCTGTCCACCAGCTAAAATCGCACTAACCTTCTTCTTTCCATTATTATGCAGTTAAGCTACAAAGTTAGTTAATACACTAACCTATTTCAAAAAAAAAAACCTTCTTCTCCTCTTTAGATTACAAGATGACAAAGGTTTTTTTTTTCAACTTTAGTTTCGGTTTTCAATTCATTTTTCGATTTAAAGTGAGTGCATAGGACAAATGCAAAAATTAGTTGAACGCTTTCGTCAAAACCATATGCAGCTTGGGTTGAATGTTTGGTGCCTAGGTTTTCGAATGAATAGTTGGTAGCCTAAATTTTGGAAATCTTAAAAAACTACATATATATTTTAATACGCCAAGTTAGCGCAGTTATAAGAAGCAATTAATGTTGAAAAAAGCTATTGATAATTGAAAGCATCGTGTGCGTGTCAGTGTGACGAACGCTTTGATAGACATTTCAAATTTTTAAATTATCACTCTTCAATCGCTTTAAGATCAGCTAGCAACGTATGTTAATTAATTTCTTCCTAGACGAATATATTGCGGCGCTCAATAAGTCTTCGGTCTAGCTTGTCATTTTTGTTTTCACAATATCGTCATTCAATTGTATTTATACTATGAAACTGCACAGTAATGACAAGAAACGTGTCATACTATTCTCAGTCGACTGGTCGACGTTTGTCGATGGTAGCTGGCCGCTCAAAGAGCAACATTCAACCGAGACGGGAAACTCGAAAGTTTTATATTGTTTTGAAAATTATAAAATCACTGTAACCTATAAATTGATTGTCGGCACTATGGCGAGTGAAATCATATGAGCTGGAGGCAGCGTTACCATATACGTATCAGATTGGAGACTTATTGAGTGATGTACTATGTAATTTCTATATCATTACTTACGACTGCAAATATATTCAATTGGCAAAGCAGTGCAGGCAAGTGGGGACAATATGTAAATGATTAGAACTGTTCTAACGTTCAAGTTAAACTGAAGCATATAATTTTATCAATAGCAAGATCAATATCCTGATTGTATTTCTTTACTGTGAATGATTGTCTTTGTTATTAATATTTAAAGTTATGCTACGCTACGCTACGCTGGTGTATTCCTTTCGGATCTTATTTGCCAGCAGTTAGCAGTTGGATAATATTCAAACTTGACTTAAATTTAATTCTAATTATTAACCTTGAAATTGAATAGTGACGGCCATATATACATGTATGTATATGGTTATTAAAAATTAGCAAAAATAGCTACCAAACAACGAAATGAAATAATTTCGATAACAATAACACAATAAACTTCTAAGGCCGACTTTAAAACTTATACTGTACAGTGTACTGACTGCATAGATATTTCAGAACTCGACATACATCGATTACAAAATTTGTATTTTTATTGCATACACATATATTTATACATATCTATCATATATATTTATTAGAACGAATGTACGATGATTAAAGGAGAACGCATCACATAATATGTGTTTACGATCATTCATTGTTCATTGATTAGTTCGCATTGAACAGTTACGCTTAATAAATTATACGATTTCTGTTACAGGTAATAAAAAAATTATATTTACTCACTCGCACCCAAAATTATATTTTACTTACTGTACGATGATTAAAGAAGAACGCATCACATAATATGTGTTTACGATCGTGATTCATTGATTAGTTCGCTAACAGTTACACTTAATAAATTATACGATTTCTGTTATAGGTAATAAGAAAATTGTATTTTACTCACTAAGAAGAGAACTTTTCATGAGACCGATAAGATGAATTTACGAAACGTGCATCTAAGCATCGAAGATACAAAAAAAATTTGCAAATTCTTAATGCATGTGTCTTACGGAATATGTTATCATTAACCGTGTATGGTTATCTACGCGATCGTAACAGCGATCTACAAAAATGCCCCTAAAAGAATTATATTAGTCTCAAGTTTTTTCTTCTCGCATTCGATAATGCATAACGCATTCCATTAGCACATTGCCTGCCTATTTATTAATAATAAGCTGGAAATTAATTGAAAAAATATTGAAATTCACATTAATTGCGTATGTGCTAGTGAAACGAGCGAATTACCATTAGGCAGATGGAATATGTAGATGGTTATGGCGCATATCACAGTAGCAACTTCTACGAGAATATCTTCAGGAGATCGAAAGTTATAAAAGTTGTTTCTGATTTTTCTACATTGCGGCCATCGATGTGAGCAGATCTCGGCCACTTTTTTACCCTGGGTCCGTAATCAATCAACGAATATTAGTGCCAAATTTCATTTTCACAACGCGATTCTTGTTACGGAGGCGATTCTACAATCTTTGTGTTAAAAAAAATAATCGGAAGAGCGTAAGTGATTTTTTTTAATTTTGCATAGAATATACGTAGAATGTTTTTTATGAGTAACTAGCAAAAAACACGATAAGCAGTGATGCTTTCAATTTATGTTACACTGCAGGTATGTCCTTTTATCGATTTGCTTCATGTTGATGACCAAGAAGTTCCAATGTTTTTACCACATTTAAAATCGATATCGAGAGGGCATGTTTGCCATAGGGAGAAACGGACGGACGGACGTGCTTCAATCGATTCACAATTTGATATTAAACAAGCTTTACGGGCTTCGGTAAAATATTTGACCACAAAAGAAATCGAAGATCCATCCCCTCGATATACATATATGTCGTAAATATTCTGATTAAACTTTTTTGCAATTAAACAGGACTTCCTAGACGACTATATAGATGTGTCGTACACCGACTTATCTATGGATTTTATTTGGAAATTGCCAGAATACCGTCCGTCCGGGTTTTCTTCTCTCTTTTTTTTCAAATATCCCCAGCCTCTGAGAAATTGCATCAATGCATACATACACTGGCGTTTGGGAAAAATTGTAGGTAAAGAAAAAGGGAAATTTTTGCTTGCAAGATGCCAGTACAGACAAAGACGGGGCAGAGCGGTTAGGGAGCTAACAGCCGCGATGTCGAGTCCTGCGTTATACTCGCAACAGCAAGACGAGCGCCTGAGAATGCTGGTAAAGCCAGTCTCTTGACTGATGGACAGATCTTTTTTGTCCCTATGGCACACTAAACGTGGCGTTATCTACACATACATGCGTACCAAGAAGAAAAAATTCGAAAGCAAAATTTTTTGGTTCGTAATTGTAATAAATCCTTCCCACCTTTTACAATATGCACACTCCGAGTTATTGTTGTATAAGCATAACATAACAAAAATGTTATGTAAAATATGACAATAGACTCGTCGATCTGAAGCGTAAAGTACACGCGGATTGATTTTTATGCAAATGACGCTATGCATGATGTAAGACTTTAATTTCTAGTTTTTTACTAAATAAGTAAACATATGGATCAGGATACCTAACATTCAAAGACAACCCGAAATCGTACTGCGCTAACCAAACTCTTAAAAATTGAATTCCATTTGCGGCTACGGGAAAGCAAATAAACAAATAGACATAAATGTTCAAAGAGTACTCAAATTTACGGGGCAATCATTTATTCATTAATAATAAAAATTGAAAAAAAAAACCTATTGCAATTGTCACACCTTTATTATTATTACAAAGGATACTCGTAACTATCGCTAATTATTAATGATTCGTAATGACTATAATGACTAATTGTTATTTACATGACTGAATAACGAAGCGTGTGATAAACAAATAATTTGAAAGCAGATATTTAGTTACTTATACGACCTAGATGACATTTAATGTTTACATATACATATACATTTATATATTTATATATATATATATATAGGGTTATAGCAATTACACATGAAATGCTAAACTATTTCCTTTTATAATAATTATATTAAAGATCTAGCGACCCGAATGAAGAGTGTATGCACATACATACAACATGCGTTTATAATAAAATAATGTATACATTTACATTTATTTTATCGCAAGCAAATCGAGCTAACCTTAAATCTGATCAACTGGTGTTACCACATGTTCTTGCAAATGTGTTCACAATTAAAGAGATTTTTGCATTTGTGTTCGAAATAAGCAAAGCAAATGAAATGTAAAGCAAGGAATAGGAAACAAACAAAAACATTGTTTTACACAATAGGAAACATAAATACACACAGGCACACACACACATATATATATATATATATATATATATATGTGTGCACACACAAATAGATATATATATATACAAATATATATATATACATATATATATATATATACATATGTACACATGTACGTAGATGCATACATAAAAGTACACAAAAGTACACATATGTGAGCAAAAATTATCTCATATTATCTGTATATATATATATATATATCTATATATATGTAACAAAGTAAATATTTAGTATACACATACAAGGCAAAAATGAATTAACAAAATCATTAAATGAAGCCCAAATAACGTAACACACACATCCATTTAAGGCATTATAAAGAGAAAATATCCCGAAAGTGTTCCAGTTTTTCAAACGTGACACATATTGTATAACAAAACAAACATGGATGCGTGCCATACGTACACGCACAAACACACACGAGATATATATATATATAAGTATTTTGGTGAATATTTTTTCACACTTTTTCATGTTCTCACTTATATCATAAGAGATACTCAAAATATTCTTTCTGTATACATAGTATCGTGGATGTATGTATATGATGCGTATGTATGTCAAGAGTGCCGGAATTTCAATAATATCATAAACCATATATTAGAAACTGTTACGTATATGCATGTGTGTGTGTGTGCATTTGTGTATGTGTGTGTAGGTGTATAAATGTCTGTACACAAACACCTGTATATTTATATATTCATAACATTAAATATATACATATATATATATATATATATATATATATAAATAAAGTGTACAAGTTTTGGAAGCATATGTGCGAGAGCCTTAAAAAGGATAATTGAATTTTCTCTTTTAACATATCATTCATCGGTTTTTCTCCCTTTTTTGTTTATTAATTTTTTTTTCATTTTCTCCTTTTATTTCATTCTTCTTTGTTTTCATCACATCATTTCATTTTACTGACACACTTTTCTTAATGCAATACACAGAGAATAGATTCATAAGCGAATAGGCAAAGCTATATATACACATACACATACACACACACACACACACACACAAACACACAAACACACAATATTTATGTGCACACATTTACATATGTCATTTATTTGACTGACATCGGAATATCTAGTTGTAAGGAAAACATAAATTTTGTTTTTTAAGAAAAATTTTGCAGATAAGAGGAAAACCGTTTTTCCTGACAATTCTTAACTATTTATCAGTTATGGGCTTACCAATATATTAATAATTCTTCGGATAGTTTGAATTTTCTTTTCACGCATATATATATATATATATATATTATGTGTATTTAAATATTTTAAAAATTACTTTTCGATTTTATAAAATTTCCAACTAAACAATATTTCCGTATTTTGCTTCTTCTTCTTTTTTTTTGTTTATTATTTTTTGATATTTATTATTAATCTCAATAGAAGTATTATTTTGTATTTATTTATTACATATACATATATATATATATATATATTTTTTTTTTCGTTATTTGTAGCAATTTAATGAAAAAATTCAAAACGTTTCCATTTATTTTAGATACGTGTAATACCGTGCTACCACCGTTCAAATACGTATATATACAAGAATTTTTCTATCTGTTTTTTTTTTTTTCTTGCTGATTTTAAAGTTGCTTAATCGCACATAATATCACAAACATTCCAAAATACATATATATATATATATACATATATATATATATATATATATATATATATACACAAAACATAAAATTTTCTTTTATGTACTGCTGCCGTTCACTCGATTCCGTTTGTTAGTTGGAAAATTCTAAAAACATTGAACTTACATACGTATGTAGTTCTCGGAAAATTTTACTTCTCACTACTTAATCTTCCTCTCTCTCTCTATCTTATTTTGTTTTTTCCTTCTCTTTCTTTATTCTCTTTCCTCTTCTGTCATTGTTTTCTTTTTTGTATTTTTTTCCATTTTTCTTTTTTTTTTTATTTTTTATTTTTTTTTTTTATTTTCACTCATATCTATCTATGTTTACCGTAACATGCCTGTGTATGCACAGATGGCACATAAAAACCAGAAGGTTTGTATAATTTTTTTGATGAAAAAAGCCAACAAAGGTAAAACTGAGAAAAAAAAAAATAAAAATACAAAACGACAAAGAAAGCCAAAGTATATGCACAGAGTAATAAGAAGAAGCTTTCTTTCTTACTTTCTCTTATATCGGAAAAGAATTATTTTTGATTACATTTCAGTTCTCTGTAAATTGAAAGTTTCTACGATAGAAAAAAAAGCAAAAAAAAAAAAAAGCTTATAAGCTTTAAAGGCACTGAGCGATTGTTGCTTGGCATTACTTGAAAACTCTTTAACATCTGTATCTAAAATTACGAATTCCTTAGGATAAATATGTGCTTCCATTTCGTATCTGGCGGCAAATATTGCTTGAACATGATATGACATTTACTCGAAAAAATTTTCTTACATTTTGTTGTTTAAAGCGAGGAGAAATTCACATTCACGAAAGGAAAAGGACGATATTGCTTATAGTGGTTTGATCTCGCGACAAATCGTTAAACCTAAAGGAATCGTGAACGAAGGAACGAACTCCAATGTTCCTTTACTTCTAAGAATTTTCTTAGGACAATTACGTGGTGGAACGAATGATTATTTAACATCACGTAACATCACGTTGCTGTCCCCTTTCCATTTTTTGTTTTCTATTTTGACTTTGAGATATTGTCCTTCTTATTTGGCTTAGAAATGAAATTTTCCGTACGACCTTCGTATGCAAGAGAAATGCGTTTGAGGAGAGAAAAGACTCATCAAGTCCAAGTCATTTTCATAATTTTTTTATTTAGTTTAACAATTTACATAATACTAACAAAAATAAATATTATTTATGTTTAAATATCGACTTATCGTTATGCCGCCAACTGTGTAATTATTATTCAAATATAAACATAAAAATGATATGAGTGTTTTAGTGAACAATTACACGCGCATCAAACACTTCCTTATGTCATTACATTTCTTCTCCTTTAGCAAAAGAATTCTTCGTCACATATATGATAGCAACAATATATAATACTATCGTTGTTGTTGTTGTTGTTATTGTTGTTGTTGTTGTTATTATTATTATTATTATTATTACTATTATCATTATTGTTGTCATTGTTGCCGTTATAATAACTATTGTCGTCGCGTTTATGCCGACGCTTCTTCTCCCGTTGCAAAGTTTGCTTGGCCTTGTATTTAGGAAACACATCTAGCCGCGTGAGCTTTTGATAATGTTTAAAGCTCACCTTTAAATAGCCACCTGGTGGATATATACTACGACATATATGATTCCTATTCTCGCTACGATATCTGGAGGCTGTAATGAATAAAGCATACGCAAAATCTCAAGTTAATGTATTTTGTCAAATTCATTTGAATAAATCTCTCAAACAAACGGAGTTTCATTATCGCTAGTCAGTCGCATCAATATTGTTGCCCTATATATTCATGTCCTATTTAATGAGCTTTTTATTGACATTTCTATTGATTTTAATATCAATCAAGTAAATCATAATTTTTACAGTTTCCCTTTAAATTGGGCAGTGCCGACTTTTAAATACCCTACATCACATTGTCTAAAACAATTCTTATTTTTGATATGAAAGTACTATTACGGGTCAATTTTTATCGCCACATATTAAAACTAGGACTTTCCTGCTCTACAGTGGATCAATTTCCGTGAAAATCCTTATTAGGGTAGAATCCAAAAAATAGGCCCAGATGATCCAAATTTGGCACAATTAATTTTTTTATCTTAAATTACTATTATAATCTGATTTTCATTATCATGATGCAGTGAAAATTATACCTTTTTGTCGTATGAATTTCAGTTTTCCTTATATGAGAGGGTGTTCAAAAAATGATCCAGTCGGTACAAAGTTTTCATATCAATTTAGAATGCCGAAATGCTACTATTTTGCCATTTTTGCCAAGAAAGTTCAAAAATTTCAATTTTTTTTTGTAATCTTTTCGTTATATGAGAAGTGGCCGAAAGGGTGAAGAAATCCGAACTAGTTTCAATAGTATTCGTCCATGAGTCAAAACATGTCCGTGTACCAAATTTTATGAAAATATCTCCTGTAGCTTGCACACAATTTTACATAGACTGACATGAGACGGACAGACAGGCTTAGATCAATTCAGATTATTATTCTCAATGGATCCATATAATAAGAGGTGGGTCTATCTTAAGCCCTTCTGCATGTTACATACGTCCGAGCATATACCCTGTACCACAAGTGGTGCAAGGTATAAAAGTTGGTTTTCTCAAAAAATGTACAGATAAGACATAACTGTAGACTATACTTCACAGACTAATAAGACATAACTGTGCAATTGAATTTCCTGAAAATAGGTTTAACATCGCGAGCGACGGGTAATGCACACAAATGCATGGGCAAACATCGGGCAGACCGACGAACAGACACGCTCAACTCGATTCGGTAAGTGATTCAACTTGGAGATCACGTGCGTAAGGAAAGTCGAAATGAAAACAAATAAATATAAATTAGATACACACAATCATACTTAATGAGTAATCGATAAAGTAATTTGTGCCTTATTAGGGAAATACTTTTAAACGTGTCTTTACCCGAATTTCAAATTTTCTCTATGAAATTCTACGAAAAGCTTATTCGTATAATGCGTGAAACGATTTTCTCTCTTTGCGCTTGTTGAGGAGCGGCAACGATAGATGGATAGTTGAATACACATATGAATAAACAAACCAAAATTGCTAAATGCATAGATCGGTCAATAAATCTTCGAACCGCGTAAGATCAAAATATCGTTATGGTTGCTTTTTCTTCCTTTCGCCAAATTCGACCCTACCCTGTGAGGATGGTAAGACCAGTTTAACGCTTTTTTAACATTTCGTTGGTTTCTTTTTTTGGTTTAACCTTAACGTCGAGACATTAAAGATACGCTTCAGTTTCCCCAATATACCCGTAATTCGATTCAAGTCTTTGTTTTTTTTTGCTTGTGGAGCATACGGAAGATACGGTCCTGCATCTCCTGCAACTTCACATTTTGACTATCGAGAACGGTTTTCCCCATTTTTAATCCTTGAAAATAATATAGAGACGATATCTTTTAAGTCCGTCCCGGAAATTGTTAAGCGATCTCTCCAGTCTTCCGCTGACCGAAAAACTAAATTTGTTTTTAGAAACTATCTGATGAGTGAAATGTATGTATAACATGCTCTTATATGTTCCTCGTGCGCCTTCATACAAACATATCGTTATATGATCGTATTCTAGTAGAAGATATGAAATCCTATTGCATTTCCTAATGCATGTACTTATCAAGTTTACATTTTTAATCGGTTAACTGTGTGAACGCTATCTGGAAAATGTGCGTTTAAATTGACGAATATACTCGTCATGCACACAGAGTACGCGTAATATGAAAATAGGTTGTAATGAAATAGTTTGATGAAATCACATACACACAAATAAGAAAATCCAACAAGGACCGATGAACGGATCATGATCAGTATATCGTCGTCATAACACCCAAATGCTCTATATTGCGTTTCGTCATACACAGTTAACACAGGTTAATAATACGTACACTTACAAGATGATTATCTACTTACAGAGAAACTGAATGAAACGTATGAAACATTACATAATTTAATATATATTATTAAGCGTTTTTAACTTACTAACGAAATTGTCGCTGTTCATATGTTTATTATGGCCATGAAATAGGGAACGCGTTTCCCTCGCATGCGAATCGTCAAATTCAAATAAATGTTCGCAAGCCTGCATCGCGAACATTTTCATGCTATCGAGCGAGCAGTAAGTACCTGTTGCAAATGTCGTTACCAGGCTTTGTATTATGCTTACAAGTAGAATAAATTTGGTTGAAATCTGCATAAATAAGACAATGCACGAAAATTAATCATAAGAATTTATATTTGGGTATATTTAATAAAAGACAAGTAAGAAAATTAGATTCGGTCGTGACCGAATTTTTTGTATTTATTACCGATTTACTAAAAAGACAAAAAAAATAAAAGAAATACATTTTCATGCCCTATGATATGGAGGGCGCGAGGCTGATTTTATTTATATTCAAAATAAAAGTTCTTGGCGCATAGACGGGTGGTCGTCGTAGGCGTGCCCTTTGATCGGTTTTGGTGATTTTCAAAATCTTTAAGAAAATTTGTAGGCGGTATCTTAATGCTCAAATACTACACAGTTGAGCAGACGGACAGACAGACATGCTTAGATGCATTCCAAATTTGAAATCGCCTAAGAATTTATGTATTTTATGGGCTTTTTGAAGTTTATCTCCGCCCGTTATAAAGATATTGAGCTAAAAGGAATTAAATTTTGGTAATATATAATAAGTAGGCAGGTAGTACAGCATCGCCCATAAAATATGAGTTCAAATTTTTGTGCAATTATCTGCTATAGTTTACGAATAATGAGTCAAAAAACGAATTTTTTATTTCTTTTGAAAAACAGAGGTGTTCTGACCTTGCTCACTTGGACTGTAGGCTTGTCCTTCAACCGATTTAACAGATTTTCAATGTCAACCTGCATGCAAGCTTTGCAAATATTTCTGCCAAATTTGAAATCGAGAGCTTTATTTTTGCGGCCAAGAGAATGTTTATAGCAGACGTTACACAGACGGACAGACGGACACGCGTAAACCGATTAACAATTTAGTACTGATCAAGCGTTTTATGGAATCTCTGAAACTTCCATCTGGGCATTGCAAGCATTTTAACAAATTAAATATACTGCTCATCCCTCGATAATGGATATCAAACCGGAAAAGTTTCTTGCATTTACTCGAAAAGCTTACAGAGAAGAAACTCTCTTTACTAGGACAACACAACACCTGACTAATAACATGCAAGTTGTTTTCATCAAGCGGATAAAAAGCATACACGGGGACCTTCTTCTCCACGAGATCCTTCTTCATTAGCAAAAACTCTGGGCATATTCGATTTATTTACTAAATTTTGCTAATATTCTGCCTAACACCTAATCTCAGATCTTTTCAAGACTGAAAATCGCTTTGAAAATGGTCTTCGTAAGACAATCAAAGAATATAAGGACACAAAATTACATCTTTTCCTTGTCCAACTGGAAATTTTCCATCTTGTTCTTGTCCGCGTATATATTAGGAGGTTTCTAATGAAAGTAAGTAAGTGAGCAGGGACTTTAACATCCGAACTCACCTTTTTGAATAACATATTTTTTGTTTTCATTAACTTTTGTACGGTTGATTTTTTGTTTTTTCCTGCTTGAAATGTTGTTTTTTTTTAAAGAGCACGTACGACGCCGACGAATGTCAGAGCACACATGAGTCAAATAAATATCATTTTTTTTATTTATTTTTTTTTATTGGAAACACGATAATGCACTTGAGTGAATGAAACCAACAAAACGATCTACGTTTCTGTCAGCGAAGCAGTAGAAGGAAGTGAACGCTTATAGCACACTTGACAATAATGACAATAACGATTTCATCTGAAAGCTTTTTATAGAAACAGCGAGCACAGTGAAGGATCCGATTTTATTTATACTGGAAGAATACATCAATCAATCAATGAATGAATGAATGAATGAACGAATATATAAATACCAACAAATACAGTAAAAAGTTGCATATGTTGATTTGTTTATATATATATTCTAATATGTTTAAGTGAATGTTTACATATATTCCATAGACGTGAAACTATTCGATCGCAAAAAATACCTTTAAATAACGTTTTTAAGCACGTGTACGAATATTTACATAAACATATGTTCAAAACCTTACGTTCGCCTTGCATACACAAAGCTACACCTGTGTACGCATATTTGTTCATGGATATAACATAAAAATATAAATAAACTACCGATGATCGACCATATTAAGGGCAATGCCTTTATATATGACATTAGATCTGCACTTACGGTATATATGCTTGCTTAGAATAATATATAAGTTTTTTCAACATAAATTCATACTTACAGTTACAATTCCTAAGAAAATTGTATTCTCTTCCAGCGCAGGTGATGTAATGTGATTTTTGCATACGTCATCAAAAGGATAGGATGAACAGACAACCGTGTTATACCGCTGTCTGTTATAATACGTATAAATTAGGTCTGATTGGACCCGTAATCTAATGAAAAATGTTTAAAGAAACTGGGTGCTAACCTTTTGTCTTTTGTTCACTTTCTTAAAATATTTAATGAACATGAATGTCGCAAGGAAGAAGACACCTAGTTAAGCACTTATTATATGACGAAAAAAATTATGATTTCGCTTGGCATCATTCGCGATAAATTAATTTAAAATATATGCATAAAACGTTATCAATCGACCTTAAATCTTATCTAAGTGGCAGTGTTTTACGTGGATACACTGCCGTGGAGGCTTAATCCCACGGTGCCCGATGGCACACGAAATGTGAGAATTCACTTTCAGCGTCCCGAGGATAATTAGTCCCTGAGTTTGATATGGAGACATGCATATGGTCCTGCCCTCCCCCCTCCACCTCTCCTTCTGATGAAGGGCGAGGTCTATTTACAACCTGCGTTTTCCTATGAGTCATGCACCTGGCTGCCAAACAACAATGTGCCGATTGAGCAAGTATACTCCTGCCTCGCTTTTAGCCACCACGAAACCCCCCGTAGGGCCGTTGCCATGATCAGGCTGAAGCAAGCTTCAAGAACTTCTCACACCCATGGTACCAGAGAGAAAAGCCTCCGGATAAGACTCCGCAGCAAAGCTACTGCTAGAAGAACTTCATCGGGTTCGGAGACGGCGCCCCTCGTCAACTAGTCTAAATCACGTAGTCTTCTATGTACGACTGTATTTCCTGGTCGATTTATAACACGAAAGCACACAACATAACCCTATCCTCCGGCATGGCTAGTGCAGGACTTACGTCATAGGTATCGTCTCTTTGTCTTATTTGCACGGCCGCCAGGTTCCGGAAGTGGCAATACTCTTCGCATTCAAACAGTGCATGCTTCCAGTTCTCGGACAGATTTTCGCAACGGCAGGACTCTGCTCGGCTAGGGTCCTTTAATACAAAAATGCATTCAGAAACCCGTGCCCGGTTAATAGACAGCCCAGATACAGGTTGAAGCCGAACTCTGGATGACTATCTACAAACGATACTTCACGAATGAACTTGTGCCAAGAGTTTTTTTTATACCCAAGCATCGTTATATAATTGTTTTCTATAATTTTTTTAGTAAACTTATTATCGTAAACAGCTGTTCAAAATGAAACTTATATAACACCTATTATAGCAGTATCTCTATTTAAGTATGTCCTTCCGTCTGTCCGACCGTCTGTACTGTGTCTGCTATAAACAATCTCCTGGTCGCAAAAATGGAACTGTTCACTTCAAATTTGGCAGAAACCAATACTTGCACGCAGATTGATATTGAAAATAGGAGGGTAAATCGGTCGAGAGACCGAAGGCCTACAGTACTATATAAACTGGGAAAACTGAGCCAAGATGACTGCGCTAAGGAACATCGGAAGTGATGACCATTATCCTGGATTGGCAGGAATCCACTCAAATCCGTTGTAAGCGCTCGCAACATTTATTAGAACTACGTCTTAAAGTAGATGTTAATAAAATCCATTAAAGCTGTATATCAATCTTTTCGTTACATATCAAAAAAAAAAAAACAATTTTTCAAAAATAACTCAAAACTTGCAGTTTTGCGAAACGTGTGTTTTTTCAAACATTACAATCCTCCCGCCGTCCCTCCCGCTTTTATTCGTTCCTAATACTTATCCATCTTGATCCCGTAAAAATGCATAATTACACGATTTTTAACGGCTAAAAGTCACGTTATTTTTTAAAAGAAAGCGTGTAGTTTTTGCATTTTCCAAATAGCATTAAATATGATCAACTTATATAATTTAAATTTAAAATAACAAATCGCAAGCATTCAAAGATATCGTAAGCAGCTAGTGGAGAGAAATGCTGCGCACATATATCAAACCTAATTATCGTTTAACTAGCCATCTACCAATAAGAACACAATGAATATTATTGGACTCAATGATTTATTTGGAACAATGAATGTTTATAACTGTAGTTTTATTCGATTAACTTATCTGATTTCAAGGAACATTAAACATGGAAAGGAAAAAAAAATTTAAAGCAAATATTAGGTAAAAATCTTAATAATTTTTTCACTTGAAAAAGGCTGCAAGCGATCCATCCATCGAACCATTTTCACACTTCCTGCAACCTTGCCGACACACGTACCAGCCACTTCCTTGGTGCACCGATCTAAACAAGTGGTAATTAGGAGGTGTTATGTTTGGTGAATCCGCTGAACGCGGCAGAACTTCTCATTCGAGCTGCAGCAACTCTTGCAATGTAGTGACCAAAAAATGTGCATTTAACAGTCGATTTGTGTCGCCACTTTTGAACCGTTAAAACCAAGACCGAAAATTGAGATATGATGGAGCTGTGTCACCATAAGCCTCTGAACAAGTTTGGCTCGCTCAAATAAACAAGAAAAGTAATTTTGAGTGCTCCATGATTAGCGCCGGCGTACGCTGAATAAATCAATGAAATTAAATTGCAAAAAAAGTTCGAAACCATCGAATTCAGCACTGCCATCACCCATTTCTTTATCCTTTTTAACTGTTAAAGTCACCGATCAAAATTTCTGCAAACACCTAATATTGCTCATTAAAACAGAAGACTTGACAACATCGCAAATGTTACTTGGACCATTGCTCACGTCCTAACATTATTAATCTTGCATATTTGAAGAGCTATCTGAAATACTAAGAAATTGTTACAAAATTGTTGCTTCAATCTCAGTAGCCGTAGAAGGCAAAGACCAAATGCCAAAGTCCAACTGTTTAAATCAAATTGTGGAGCAGTTTTGAGATAAAAATTTTCGCAATGGTATTCCTGGAACTCTCTTCGGCATAGTCTTTGCTTCGGAGCTTTTGTGCATCCGTGTATAACTTCTAAAGAATGAGATGCAATGAGATTTTGTTTCTTCGAGACTAAAAGATCACTATATAGTTAATTGAATGCATACATATAATACGGATATATCAAATATCAAAAGATTTTTTTTATTTTTTTTTTTGAATTGGTAGCTCCCTGACATATATCACAAATGTCCCAATGTCACATCGCAAACACTGCGCTTGGTTTTGTGCGATAAAAAAAGTATTTTTATATGAATTTTTACAATGTATGTGTGAGCAGACGATTTCTGACTGACGATTCTGATCGTGAAACACATTACTATGGAAGCTGACATTTGAATCGACGCATAAAAGGAAACCTCAACAAAGTCGCTCAAAAATCAACGTGTAATTAACAATTTGCCTCGATTATCGTTTATCAGTATTATGCTCCATGAATTCCTTCCACCAAGCCTAATTCTATAACAAGGAATACTATTATTAGAGTTAAAGTAGGATTTCTTTAAATAATAGAGAGATTTGAAAGAGAAAAAATTAAATTGGTTTTACTTTTTGATCACAGCGGTATATTTCTTCTTTTCCTTTTTAAAATGTCAGAAAATTTTCCATCAGCCACTCATCCCTGTGAATATTTTTTTTAAGACTCTAACACAACTTTCAAATTTCACGTAAAGAAAGAACAAATAAGAATATTAGGAAGCATACACACACACATATACATACAACAAAAGAAACCTTTTGTTATGATCATAAACCAAAAAAAACCAAATTATTGCTACTAAGTGCTGTGCACACTGTTACCGTGCAAACATCGTGAAAAGCTTCAATGTGCAAATCGAGTTATAACAATTTTCAGAGACATTACGAAACTCCTAAATTTTTGATATGGCTTCAAGGGCTCTAGAACCTATCAGAAAATACCTGAATTCATTACTATGTTTGAGATGTATCCTTCAAGACATATGAATAATCTGCAGCGTCCTCAATTGTTTACAAATTTTGATTTCATTTTTATACCCATTACCGATGGATGAGGGACGCATTCATTTTGTCCGAATGCTTGCAAAGCCCAAAAAAAAAGAATCGAAGATCCAGAGGCAAAGTATGTATATTCTTGATTAGCTTCAAATTATAAATCGATTTAAACATGTCCGTCTGTTAGTTAGTACAATGTCTGTTGTAAACATTCTTCTGACCGCAAAAATTAAGCTATCGACTTTAAATTTGGCAGAAACATTGGATAACCTTGCATCCAGTCATTTGTATTGAAAATGTGTTAAATTGGTCAAAGTACAATCCTACACTGTTATGTAAAGTTTCAAAAGGAATAAATAATTGATTTTTTTCTCATTATTCATGAATTAAATATATAAACTAAAATAAAAAAATTGACCACGCCTACCGTATAATATAACGTATAAAAATTTAACTTTTTTTTTAATACCATTATAACGCGCGGAAGCAAGCCTCAAAAACCCCATTAGGTATATGAATTGCTTAAAATGTTCGTCTGTCCATCGATCCCTCCGCCCAACTGTGTAGTATACAGGGGCCACACGCTTATGCGATAAAAGCTTTTATTTTAAAAATACAATACAAATCAGCTGTGCCCTCTCCACATTATATGCCACGAAAGTGTAGTACTTTTTCTTATCTTGTCCTCTTAGGATTACGGTAGTTGGTATAAAAAAATCGGTCACGACCGAGCATAATTTTTTTACTCGTTTTAATTTATGTCATATTTTTCTTTCGTCAACTGTTTCAATTTTACTACGGAGTGATAATCAAAAACAGTTGAGGGAGTTGTGAATCAACCCATTCACCCTTAACCGGATCTGCACTAAACATTTTATTCCATTTTTAAATTTTGCGTTTGTTATTGCGTAGCAAGAAAGATGCAGAAAGTTTTTAAAATTAATGTACTTACGTACTCACATATTAAATGTATCTAAAAATGCAGTCATTTCTTTCCTTGCCTAAATTCTTTTAAAATATTCCATTTACTTTCAAGAAATTTTCCTACTTACTTTAGAGCAAATCAAAAATTCCAATACTTTTCAAATTCAATTTCTTTAAATTGCAATTTTTTTTAATATTTCACAATAGTCGTTTGCTTACAAATCGAAGGCAAGAGAACAACAACTTACTTAAGCGCAAGCAATTCCTAAACACATGCATAAGTTGCAAGCACGTGTACGAACAATTTTAGAAAATAAACAAAAATTCCAATGTAAACAAAAAATTTAACCAATCAAAACGATGAAAGATAATCCTTCCTAAACACATAATCCTCTAACTCAACAAAGCAAATTTTGTTAAGAAGGGTGAAAGTCGATAAATATTTTCTAGTTCACCAAAACAAAATAATCGTACAGGTACCATTGAAATGTTGTGTTCAACAATTCTCCGATTCAAAATATGCTGGTTACAAAGTTAAATGCAATAAGCCCGAAATCTACTAACAAATCTCGTACACCCACAAACAGTACAGTGAGTGTGCAAGTGCACCCCTAAGCCATTGCAAAGCCGTGCTTGGCAAAGCTTGGCAATCGATAACAGTAAACAAAGCCGGTTAATTTTCGAAGGCGAGATGTTAAGATTGCAAATTAGTTTAAATACGACATAGGCAGACCGCGCATATTAAGCAAAGTTGTTTTGATAGACTTCAGAAAATCCGATATTGAGATTAAGCGATAGATATCATTTAGGTTTCTGCGAACATACGGGCGGACAGATTAAACAACACGTAATTATATATGCGCAGACGAAGCTTAATGAAAATAAGATGCTTGGAGAAGCGATCAGGGACTTTAAAGCTTATCTCACCAAGTAATGTGGATGAATTTGGTAATAATATTATCTGACGTAATTGAAAAGGAAACACCAAAAATAAATCTACCTTTCTCAAGTGACGGTAAGGATAACAGAAGCAAACTATTTTTATAAGGAGGCAGAGAGGCAAACGGATCCCAAACCAAATTCGTAAGGGCAAACGACAAGAATTGTCATAGGAGAAAAACCACACAATAGAAACATATTCAAGTATTGGTCTAACTAAACACAAGTATAGGCTTTTCGTAATATAAGGATCGTTAAGCTCTTTGGCCCATCTCTTAATGAAACTTAGTGCGGACAGAATGTTTATGATCCAATATATAGGACAATACAAATAATTATTATTCTAGCAAGCTTCGTTTTTAGCTCATTTTTTCCAAAATTTGATTAGATCGCTCGATTTGATATCTACCGACATTTCGATTTGTTATTTTCACATAGATAAACGATACCATATATTCAAGTAAATAAAATATCGATAACAAGTTTATACGTTTACAATCTCTATGAAACAAATAACATATGTTCGATGCAGTCGCTGTATTGTGAAAAGCAGTTGCTCGATTTTAAAGTTTAAATGGAATAACAATTCAAAGAATTAAGGAATTATCAAGTTACCCTATTATTAAAAATTGAGTGGATGGAAATTTTTAAATTATTAACACTCATATGTGATTAGCGCCATAAGTTCCAAATTCCGAATTTTATTTAACGAGTTGCTCGCAATATAATACATGGCTTCCGATGCCAATGTAGGAAAGATTGTCTTCGTAATTGCTGTGTCAGTATTCCTGTATTATTTTTTCTGGGTATCAATTTTACCGTTCATGCTAATTGACGAGGGTAAGAAAATAAAAAAAAAAAATTAAAAAATCGAAAAGCAAATTTTGCACGAAATTCGCATAAAGATCATCTCTCGTGATGTTCTTTTTGCTTAGCAATAAAATGTAAACGCAATACTAAAATTTCAACAACATAATGTGCATTGGATTCAGAATAATAATAAAGCGAAAAAAAAAGACAAGCTTAATCTTACAGAAAGTTACAGTTGTATATGATTAGTGAACGCGCACGATATTGCAGTCATTGGAACTCCCGGCAAATCACCAAAGCTCTTGGCCATGATTTTGAGAAAAATTGTTTATTATAATTCGTGCCTTTGCCTTTGGATTGTATTATATGTGTGTGTAATAACGAAATGCCAAAGGGACTATTTAGCAATTTTGCCCCACGAGGTGTAGTCCAAGTATTCCACAATTCCTTACTATCTGTAAATGTATGCGTTATATACTCTCGTGTATGCACGTTTAAATTAGTTTCAAGCAAAATGATAAGCTTTAAAATTAACGAAACCCTTCTCTTTTATTTGACGTTGTGGTAATGGCTTTAAAATTACGTAAATTATTTATTTTGAGCTAATAAATAAATGATGTAATAATGAACGAGTATATGTTATATATATGTATATATATATATGTATATGTGTGGATGCAATTTGTTTGTTTTCTAGGCAATCTGATACATTCTTTTTTTCCACCGCTAAAGTACGCCTTTATATTGCCCGCTACGTTTGGAATTGTTTTTCTAGGAGGCATTGCCATCTTTACGCTTTATCACATTTGGGATTTCATAACCGCCTGATAAGCTAATAAGCTAAAGCGAACACGCTTCTCTTCTCCTCGGCCAAATTAAGCCTACACAAAGAAAATATGAAAATAATAATACACAACATACACATACGTACATATTCAAAATAAATTTTAAAACTCGAATTGTCTTATCGCCGGAATTTTCGAAGCCCTTTTTAATAGTTGCGCATTTCGTGCGCGCTTTCAGTCGAGTTGCTGGCTTCGGATACTGAAAATGCAGTGGCTAGTAATTGGCATTTCGGGTGTTACATGTGGCGGCAAAACTACACTTGCTCGTAGTTTACGTGATTACTTTACAAGTCAACGTAATTCGCCGCTCTGGAATACTTCATTTATTATTAATGATGTACAATTGATATCGCAAGACGATTACTTTCTACCAGTTGACGATTTACGGCATAAATGGGTAGAGAAGTTAAATGTTATCAATTTTGAATTGCTCTCGTCATTGGACATGAAGCAGATGCTCTCAGACATTACTTGGACAATGAAGGGACGTTACTTGGCTGGCGATCCTGTGGAAAATATTAATAACGTTACTGATATATCGGCGCAAAATTGTGCTGGCAGCAGTAATTTGGATCGTTATACTACGCAGTCGAAGCCGTCCTATCACAATAACTATGGCGCCGGCCAACACAGTCAGCATGTTTGTAAAATGTTACTAAATCATAAACTACCGCATCACTATCATACGATTAACAACTCTCAAGCGGCACACATAATGCGCATTAACTCTCAACTGCCTGGGCAATTGGGAGATACCAGAATCAATATTTTATTGATTGAAGGATTCATCATTTTCAATCAACCCGAGCTCTTAACGTTATGTAATGTTAAATTCCATTTTCATTTGCCATACGAAAAATGTTTCGAACGTCGACGCAAACGAACCTACGATCCGCCCGACGTTACTGGCTACTTTGAAATTTGCGTATGGCCGCATTATGAGAAGAGCTTTACTGAGTTCAGGGATCGAAAAGATATAATCATTCTGAATGGTGAAGTTGATAAGGACAAAATTTTCAAATATGCCTTACGACGCATATTCCAATACGTCGAAGAGCGCTGCGACGGCGCTTGCCCGCCGCCCCATAAACTCTTGGGCATTCCTAGTTTTAACAGTAATGGCAATGTGACAGCTATGAAGACAACATGCCCCATGGAGCAGCAATAAATAAAGTGTACAACACGTACTTGAAAATTAATTATTAATTAATAACTAAAATTCGAAAAGCACCTGCTGTATATAAATACGTTTACATGTACAATAACAATAGAATTGCTTTATATTTATTTTCTTAGATATAAGCCAGATTCCAGAAGCTAATAAACTTTTTAAAAAAAACGAAAATCAAAACTAAACGCAATTTTTGAATAATACGTATTGCCTGTAGCTAGCCCCTACATACAAAAAAAAAAAAAAAAAGAAAAGAAAAACAATGTATTTGCGAGCAAATTTTAAGAATGTATTGGATTTGGACATTAATTTGCCATATAGACAGAATTGTAAAAACCTTAAAGGAGAAATGAATGAATAAATAAACAAATAAACATACGTGGTATGTATATTATCGTGATGAACATCTTCACGTTTATTATCTTGAATTTTCGTTTTATAATTTATAAAATACACAATTTATGGATTATATTACTATTTCAATACACATACACACTCTTACAAACACTCACATGAAGGCGAATTATGAGTGTATTTGACTACAAAACTTGAGACATTGGAGATGCCAAAAAGATAAATATTACATTCCTAGGAGTAAAAATAAATAATAAAAATTAAAAAAAAAGAAAAAAAAAAAGACATGTGCTTTTATTCCGATCTCGATAATTATTGACTCTGTTAATCCATTAATAAAAATTGCGTCGAGCTTATTACTATAAAAATGAACCTTTTTGTTTTTGCGATTTTCAAAGGACCAATTAAGACTGTGACGTTTTTTTAAAAAATATATCTGCAATAAAAAAAGTTTCCACAACTCATTGTCTACGAACTCTATGAATGTGCATTATTAGTTATTTGAATGTTTATACGTACATCGAAAACAATTTAAATTTATAGAGCATCCCAGTTAGTTTGATTTTTGTAGACTTCCTCCTCCAACCAAATCGAATAATTTGCCTTAAAATAATCCGTTAGCTCGATTTTTCGATCCCACCAGCCTGAGTGACCGAAAAAAGCGAAATCGGAGTGCGTCAGTATCTCGTCGCTTGGAAAGCCACCTTCAATCCCGTATTCGTGTAATTGGCCGGCACCACCTGAGCCCGGATTCGCATTTCCTGTTCCAAAACTAGCTGTACCGTTACCATCAACATTTCCGCCCATATTAACTCCAGTGCTGTTATCTGCATTACCGGCTGAATTTGTGTTGTTGCCACCCGAGCCGCATTTTTGCGTAGCTTCTGGATATCTGCGAAGATTAAAACGATCAACGCAAGCTCGCAACGTGCATTCCTCGGCCTGAAAGTCCCATGGCCGCGATTCTAGATCGTTACCAAATGCCCAATCGTCATTCAAACGATGACGCACTTTCGCATAAATAGCACTCATAGTTTTCATGTTTGACTTACGCCACTGCCTTCCCAGATATTTCGTTTGCATTTTAAGCAACTTTAATACATACAGTTGCATCATGGCGTGACGCACTTTAAGAGTTTTCTTCAAGATGGGTGCCGACTTAAAAACTACCAGCATCATGACGCGCGAATGCTTCCACTTGATGAGTTTATTTAAAATGCGCAAGAGATTAATGCACGAAAAAACATTTCGCCACGAATAAGGTTTATCAGTCACTTCCCCGCTGTACACGTAACTTTCGCCACTTATGTCGGGCTGTTCACCGATTACGCATGAAGGAAAGTCCAAAAGTGGAATGGTGTTCTTCATGCTAACGTATTCGGTAATATTTTGGTTAAAAAATTTTAATACCAAAGGTATGCAATTAGCGAAGACTAAATGCTGAGACATAAATTCAAATTGGTATACGTGGTTCAGTTTGAAATGTTTTAAATAAAGCAAAATAATTGCGGAGACAGCCTTAACAATGACCTCTTTATGTCGACCCATGTCAACAGTTAACTTAGTTGACTGCGTTGCGGTGAGAGGCATTTTCTTTGGTAACACATCAGCCATTATGTTAATGCTTTCCGTTTTTGATTTTGAAGTGGGCGAAGCTGCCAATAATACTTTCAACAACGCAATCATATACTGCGGTAAGTTGGGAAGAACAGCTTGATATAGTATCTCAGCCGAAGTCGCTGGAATTTCGTCCTCTTGCGTTGAAATGGGATTTCGAGCAATTTCTTCTTCCTTTTTAATTTGAATATCAGCTAGACTTACATACATGTGACGCCTTAAAGTTTCAACGCCTTCGTGTATTGGCTGCGGTAAACCCGCCAAGCTTTCGTGATCGTCTATCAAAGAGTAACCAATGAATTTGTTTCGTGATATATCCAGAAATTGGTCAATGTCCTTTTGACGCACTTTGGGAGTCCAAGGCAAACGAGTTGTAATTTGTGGCGGTTGTATGTTAGGGGGTGTATTATAACTAGGCAAATTGTTCGGATTAGCTGTTGTTGTGGAGGGGTCTTCGAAAGGCCTATAGTAATCGTCGTCGCCGCTATTAGGTCCGCCGTTATTGGTGCCACCCATACCTCCACCGTTATTCGAGTTATTTGGAGCACTCTCATTTCCCGGTGTCAACTCTATGTCCATTTGCTCCTGCTCGTCCAAAAACCGTTGCTTCATTAGTGAACGTCTGAAAGCGTTGCGTTTTGGATTCTGGTTGTCGAGTATATCGTTGGCAGTGGCCGGAGGTGAGCTCGCTCTCATACATTTTGTCACCTCTAATGTATCTTCAGAAATTGGTTCAAGACCTGCCTTTATTCGATATTCGTTTTTAATATTCTTCAATATTTCCATACCACCCAGTCCTAACAGAGATACCTTCCATAGCAACAAAACTACTTTTTTCATGGGAAAATGGGGAGCAGCACCACTACAGAATCGTGTAATCATGCCCAAAAGCTTTACCGCCAATAGTTCTCCATCAGACAGTGGACTATTAATTTCTTGTACAAAGCTTTCAGCTATCATTTTATAATCCTCACTGTTTTTCTCTTTCTCGTCACGAATCGTTTCTGTGATGATATACAAAACAGACAAAATCACTCGCAAATCGGCAGAATCAGCCAATGTAACATTGGTAATTTTAACTGCAACAATATCTGGAGAACATGCGCTTTCTATCTCCATATTTAATAGATCTATGAATGAAGTGAACACGCCCTGATCGTAGAGCACTATAACATTATCTCTTGTATTCTGGTATTGCTCTTCGTCGGATTGAACTTCTGCCCAACAGCCCTGCGCCAAGTAAAGAATACATCGAGCAGCTTGCATACGAAACTGACGATTTGAAACTTCAAGTTGATTCATTAACTTCATAACAATTCCGCGCTGTGCTGTCGCATCTAACTTTTGCCAATTCGGAGGCAAATCATACATTTCCATTTGGTCTTCAAAAGCCTTCACATTCTGCTGGAATTCTGAAAATTCCGTGTAACTATAGAGTTCGGCAATTTCGTTTTGATAACTATCCACATCTGCATAGACAAAATCTAAATCTGGCCCATCGCAGTTTCCATCAACATCATGCGTGTCTTGTTCAAAAGAGTTGTTTATAGTAGAAAGCATCATTTGGCCAGTTCGATGCGTTCTTCGCCGTTCTTGTCGTAAGGGACACACGGTCTGAAAGTGTTATCTCTATAATTTCGTATCTATATATTTGGGTTACAGAATGCTGAGTGAGAGATTCTGTTCAGAAAACAATTTATTGCAAAAACTTGTCGATCATTACTCTTATTTAACTGCCATATAAAGAAATTAAAGAATATTTTTCGCAGATATTGACGCGATGGGAATTTTTTTCTTTTCAATAGACAGGAAAAAAACTTGAAAAGAAAATTCCTCTCCCCGATGTTCTATATTCAGAAATAAACATCTGTTAACAGGGTTGTAAACACATGTACTGCACATAAAAATGTGTGAAAATTCGGCGTTGTAAAAATATCCACTAACCAGTAGTTTTAAACAGACACATCACGGATTTTAAAAAATATCTACTCTTGAATTATGGTTTTTTTTTAGTAAAGTTGAATTTTAACTCTGAACTTTTATGCCAATGATGTTGGCAAATATCAAGCAAAAATTTTCATTATATGATTGCAATACCGAAACACATTGAATTATTGGCCGCAATCAACTCACAGTAGTGTAATTGCCATGTTCCTGTTCTCACTCTGTTTCGTTACGCTCGTTTGTTTAGTGCCATATTTATGCAAGTCATTATTAATCAATATTCAGTCATCGCTGCAAAACATTAAAAATCATATCGCGTGTGTTTGGTTTACTTACTTTTTGAGAACAATCTCTTTTTCTACAATAGCAAAAAACAGTAAGCATTTGTTACATCAATTATGTTAGTTTCTCCAAACAAATTATTAAGAAAATTTTCGGATTATAATGTGTTAATCAATATCTACAAATAAGATTTTTTAAAGCGTCAAAATCTTAGTGAATTTTACTTCAAAAATCTTAACAGGAAAGTCAGGCAAAAGAATGCACTTTGAAAATGAAAATTTATTTACTTATTTCAAGTAACAAAAAGTTACAGTTAAAATTATTTATAGAAAATTTCCAAAACTTTTCACAATATTCGTTCAGTGCGCTTATAAGAAATTGGGGAAATCTTAAATATCTATAAATCTCCAGTTAATATTGCGTAGTGTAAAAAAGCATTGATATTTCAGAGGCCGAAGTTCACATCCTTTTCAGTGGTTGAATTCATATCCATAGACCGTAAAGCTTGACGAATTTTCACTTAATCAACCTAGTCTAGCATTTTGTGGCGGTCAACTAATGCAATCTCTTTTATTTGGCTGTTTTAGAATATTGAAATCGCTAAGCATTCTTGATATTACAAAGTGATCCGCTAAACATTAACGTTTTATTGCAGAAATCTATTATGGGTGTAAAGTTCACAAGGTATATGCATTTTCCGAAAATCGATTTAGTCCTTCTGTTGTTATAAGTCCTTTCCCAATATCTGTGTAGACTTTCTAGCGCAACTTTTAGATAAAATTAGGTCGCCCGAAAATCTTACACTGAACAGAAATATACATCTTCAGCACATTTTTGAGTGCCATCAATAAGACGATTGTAATAATTGCATTTAATTAAATTTAAATAAATGCCTTTATTCTTCATGGATGAGTACGAAATTGAAACTAAAAATTAAATTTTTCAGTTATACAAGGCTTGAATAGGTCTTTCGCTTTGAATACTCGAGATACTTTTGCATTTTTTATTTTATCTCTTCATCGATCAGTTGAAATAATGATCAAAATTTTTTCTACGATTTTTAAATTTTAATTTTAGTTCTTGTATGTCACTTTTGTAAGGTCACATCAGTTTTATCGAATTTTGCTTAATTTTTCAAAAATTTGTTGCGAATAAAAATTAACATTGGTGTCGGAAATCTCTTTCTGAACCAAATTAAAGGTTTTTCCAAAGGTTTTTAGGCATTTTTGTGTTACATACTTTTATTTGCATAAAAAGAATATAAAATATACTGTAAAAAAAAACATCGAAGGTACTAATTTTTTGAAATTTTTATTTATAGTTTCTTTAAGAGTTTTTTAAAAGATCCATAATTTCTTATAACAAAAGCTCGCTCTAAAACGTTTGTGAATTCTATGTGAAAAGTAATTAAATAAGGATCGAAGGTACGTCAAATTCTATGTTCGTTTCATTGAAGATGAAAAATTATAAAAGTTGTATTGTCTTTAAAACAGGATTAATCCACTCAGCTACTTGCTTATGAAATATTTTTATAATTGAAATGTAGCGAAATGCCGTCCTTTGTAATCGTGAACGTTTTAATTGGATTGTTTTTCGCTGGATGGGGAACTTATTACTTCTATAGTAAACAACAAGTAACTTAAAATCTTATGTAAAAACTAAATTTAGCTTTAGCTAATGTCTCCGTCTACATTCATATCCTCATTACCTGTTTACTTATAATGCGCAATTAGATTGCTTTTTACTGGATTTTATGTAATAAGAAAAATCGTCCTAACGAAACTCAACTTCTGATAATTAGGGGCAAATAAGTGCACGGCTTAGGAAAATGAATTTGTTAATCGTTAGCTAAGCTTGGCTAACAATATAGTAGTTTTAGTGCGATTTATAGCGAGGTTGCTTGTTAGTGAGTTCTTTGAGATCGAGGCGATTATTTTAAGGTTATCAACATATAAAATGCAAAGAAACGGCTTATTAACCTATATACATATGAGTTTTTAATTCGATCTGTAACACCTCTGTTATATTCCAGTAAGTGTACTTGCTACTGATCAATGTAAGATTCGGCATCGATGTGCTTGAATTGTCCCGTCCGCCTTTTTCGTTAACGTGCAAAATTTAAATTGGAAAAACTGTGACTTCGTTGATGTATCCTTAACTGGTTAGGTCCCCAATGAATAAAGAAAAATGAAAATTTTTATATTAATTACTTCATTGAAGGCATCATGACGATATTAAAATGGACGATTAGCAAAAGATACAATGAGTTTAGTTCGAATATGCTTACTTTCTTGATAACATATTTTTCTGTTCGTGTTATGAAACGGAATTGTCTGTCGACTCTCGATTTTCAGGGAATTAAAAATGTTTTAACAAATCTCAATATTATGCATAATAATCAAATAAATAACTGTCACGCTCTATAATTGCAGTGTTTTTTCTAAAAATAATGCAAGATATGCTAAAAATAAACTCCCGAATGAGAATAGCACACGGCAATTTATCACTTCTGGGGCATCGATCTCTTTGTAATGATTTCAAGACGATGGACCGTTTAATGAGAAGACGACGATTATGTTTAATATGGTTACCGCTAGTCAGCGTTAATTGCGCCGTGACTAAAGGCAGAAATTTATCATCAAACGGAAAAGAAGAAAATATTGTAAGTACTTTGGGAAAGACTTTGCTTATCAAAGCGCAATTCTCAAAGTAAACGCTCTTGTATCCAATGAAGCTTGCATATAACTGCCCGGGGTTTAATTAATTGCCACTTGTTGTACCTGTATTTGTTATGCGAACTGTAATTCACTTTAATAAACATGTAAAGGTTTCCAATTCCAGTTTAGTTTAGCTTATGCGAAGAAAAGATGGGTTCGAAATTTTGTTTTTTATGTTTTTTTAATACTTCAACTTTTTTCACTGTGTTTGGCTGCTTTTATAACTAATTTATCGATGCCCCGTTCATCAGCGTGCATATAAGAGATTACTAACGTTATTTAATTTTTCACTTTTAGTCTACAACGATGTCTGAACAGGCTAACAGCATTTACGATTTTACCGTAAAAGACACTTATGGGAACGATGTTTCTTTAGAGCAATACAGGGGTCACGTCGTGCTTATTGTGAATATAGCTTCTCAGTGTGGTTTGACTAAAAATAATTATAAGAAATTAACCGATTTACGCGAGAAATATGGCGAGAAGGGTTTGAAAATATTGAATTTTCCATGCAATCAATTTGGATCGCAAATGCCCGAAGATGATGGCGAACCCATGGTCTGTCACTTGCGAGATGCTAAAGCGGATATTGGCGATGTTTTTCAAAAGGTAACATCCTTTAAAAGTACATAAAATATGAATTTGAAATTATTGATTTTTATCCATTTAGATTGATGTTAATGGGGCCAATGCTGCGCCACTTTATCAATATTTAAAGGCTAAGCAAGGCGGTACACTCGTTAGCGCCATTAAATGGAATTTTACAAAGTTTTTAGTCAACAAAGAAGGCATACCTATAAAACGATATGCACCCACAACCGATCCTTTGGATATTGCCAAGGACATTGAAAAACTTTTGTAAATTTTTAATTATTATGATAAATTTAATTTGTAGTTTCTTTAATTCAGGTTAAGTTATTTGCTTCCCAAGTTTTTTCGCTTAATAAACTCCATAAAACATCTTCCTTTGAATGATCGAAGGGAAAGGAATCACGAATTAATAAGAATTATGACTTCTAAACAGCACTGTACTATAATTGACAGTAGGGATTGACCAATATATATATATACATATAGATATCATAACAGTGTGTGTCAATACGATTTCTCAACATCTAGTTCATCATCTTCCCAAGAGAACGCAATCTGTACGTCCCACCTTAAACTCGAACGCAGAAAATCTTTGTTTTAATTACTCTTAAAATTAACCCAAGCTAAACAAGCTAACGTTCAAGTCAATTCTACAACCAGTTGCGAATATTTTTAACCTATCAAAAATATGATATGATTTTTTAAACTAGGAACGGTTACGTTTTCGATAATAACAGACTATTACGCAGTCGATCACTTTCTATCAAACAACTGAAAGCGTATTTGCCGACTTTTCGACCTTCTTTAAAGTAACTTCAATAAATCAGAATAGCATTGCTTTGGGATTGTGAATAAATAATAAATCAAAATAGCATTATTACGTTGCCAATGCTCTCAATGCTCGCAAATGTGCCCTTACAAGTAAACATACGCTCAAAAGCAAGAGATTAAATTCTCATAGTGTAATTCAATGCTTTTAGTTGTCATGTACCGCCTGAGTAGCCGAAGGGGAGGAATCTCGACTAGCAAGTCAATGGTCGTGGGTTCGAATCTCAAGTGCGGTAGAGTTTTTAATAAAAGCCGATAGCCTTAGATGCTAGTGCTTTTAAGAGTTTAGTCTTAGAATTAATTTCTGTGGCGAAATTAATAATAATAATAATAATAATAATAGTTGTCATGTATGTGGGTTTCTTTAACGATTGTTTGATTCTTCAATGTTTTATGATGTTTTCATCAGCTTCTTCAAACCATTTCGTTTTTTGAAAAGCTGTCTGTCTGTCTGTCTGTCTATCGTTAGAAGTGCTCAAAAGTCCGATAGAGCTTGGAGTGGGTTTTAAAACTCCTGATTTAATTGCATCAATCGGCATTTTATTTTTTGATTAGGTGGTTAGATTCTGGCAAATTTTTGTGACTTTGGTAGCTTAGGTTGATATTGATATCTGTGACGTAGTGCATGCTCTACTATTTATCTTTATTCTTATTTAAATAAAATTTGCATATCTTATATAAAAATTTTTTAATGTTTGATTTGATGGATTGCTGGGTTCAAGAAGTTCGGGGAATGCAGCTTTAATTGCTTTGTTTTTAAAACCTCTTCTTGTGAACGCGATTTACGCCGATGTCTTACGTTTTGCTTACTGTGCACTTTGCGAAATTTCTCCTCCTAACTCAGTTCAATGTATATTTGGTTTGTCAATTTGCTTTCATTTTTTAGCTCGCATCTTATTGTTCAAAAACAATGAACGGATGAGGTTATGTCCTATCTATAAAGATCTATGTTTTGGGCGAAACTGGGAAATTGAGTAGATTTGTGATCATCTAGATCTTGAACGTTGAAAGGATATTTGTGTTTTCATTCTTCGAATTTAGAAATCCTCTATCTCTCTCTCTCTCTCTCTGAAGTCTCCAATATATACTACAATTTACTAAGTTGACGTTCTAATTTTGTCTCCATTTTGTAATGCCAAACTTTTGTCAAAGATGTAACTCCTATCTCGGTACCGCCCGTAGATAGGATGCGCTCATTATAGTTATACAAGCCAAATCTAACTTAGAAGCTACAGTTTCCGACATACAAACTTTTACGAAGGCTATTGAAACGTTCAGCCTAAAAAATAGTCCGCATAACCCAAGAATTAAACGTCCCTCTTTTTAGAAAATTCGACTTTATTCATCTCAACATAGTCTCCTTCAAAAATTATGCGATCACTCTAACAATTCTCTAATAATTTGTTATTTTTTATACCCACCAATGTAAGATGGGGGTATACTCCTTTTTTTTCTTTTCATAATGTATGTAACACCCGAACGGACGCTTCAGAGACCCTACAAAGAATATACGTTTTTGATTAGCGTAAAGTTCTGAATTGACTAAGGTATGTCTGCCTGTCTGTCTGTGCAGTGTTTGCTGTTGGCGCTCTTCTGGTCGCAATAAAGAAGCTACCGACTTCAAATTTGACAGAAAGACTGCAAGTTCTTGCGCACAGGTTGATATTGAAAATGGCGCAAATTGGTCGAAGGAGAAGCCTACAGTAGATTGTAAATTCAGAAAAAAATAAAAAATTGATTTTGCGTCATTACTCATAAACTCTAGCAGATATATGTACAAAAATTTTAACGCATTTCCATAGGTAATAATGTAGTACCTGTATGAAAGTGGAAGAAATTGACCTCGCCTACCTTGTAATCTACAAGGCGCAGAAATAAGTTTCAAAAGCCCAGAAAATATAAAAATTCCTGGGCAGTTTCAAATTCTAAATGCGCCTAAGCATGTTCGTCTGTCCATCTGTCTGTTTGAGCAGCTTTGTGGTATCTCGTTATTAAAAATTAACATATCGCCTGCAAGTTTGGAAAAAAATCTGAAAATGATCTAACCTTTAAAAGGTCACATCTAATTGACACGAACTTTTATTTTGAAAATAGAAAAAATCAGGCGCGCCCACTTCATACTATAGGCTATGAAAATGTAGTTCTTTTTCTCGCCTTGTCTTTTTATGATAATTGTGATGGATATAAAAGATTCGGTTGCGACTGAATATGATTTTCTTATTCGCTCTTTTAAAAATCCAAAAACCAAATAGGTCTGGCCTATAATGCATAATATAATATTTTATTTTTATTATATAACAGGTGTCGATAAATAAGTGATATTAAATTATTATAACCAATTATTAAAACCAATAACATTTTAATTAATCCCACGATTGTTGACCAAGTGACTACGGGGACGGATTAGAGTGTTAATCAATGCAAAACTGTGATATATATCCTCATCTGACCAAGATTGAAAAAGGGAAACCATTCGCATCTAATTACACTTTTAATAGAAAAAAATAATATATATATATATATATATATAGGCTGTCTATATTAGATAGGAATTTAAAATCAATCCAGGTCATCTAAATGTTGCAACGAGCAAGAATGATTCTTCCGTCCGTCTTACTGACTTAAGAAAATTTGAATAATAGTTTACAACTTTTCTAAACGAAGCCATTATCTATGAATTATTCTGGCCGAATAATATTTGTGTTGGCTTGAAATGATGATTCTTAACTTCCTGATAAGCACGATCTTCTTCATTTAATATTATCAAGATCGAATGTACATTAAGTGAATTCCATGTCAATGCCTTCATGTCACTACCACTATGTCAATGCCTCTATTAGTTTTGAACATGCATTACTCGCATGAAAAACGCGTAAGAATTTTCTTTCCACATTCTCAGCCTGAATCAGTTTTTGCTCAAAGTGTATACTTAAAAAAAAAGAAAAAACAAAAAAAACAAAAAAAATAAAAACAAAAAACATCAACATGGAGATAATTAAAAATGATTTAACGTATGCATCGTTTTAATTTTTTTGTGGTGCAGATGTTTAAGATGGCGTTTTCATCCTCTTTCATCCTAAATCTAAAGAGCTCTGAATCTCTCTGATCCTTTTCTTTGAAATTATTCGTGCAAAGGCATTTATTTACAACGATGCTTACATATTTTACATATTTTGCTTCTACATGACCGATGAGTACATGAAATATAGCGTCATCTTCACACAAAAAGTTATCGTTGCCTTTATTGAGTATCTGGGTTAGAGTTGACCAAAATGGAAGCATCTATCAACATTGATTGGTGTCATTTACTCGATAGCACTATATGCATTCATCTACATATGTATTATGTATGTTATATGAAAAAAAAAAAAAAAAAAAACATGCACATATGTACATACGTATGCTTATGTGATTCACCCTTAATTGTTGGAATACATTCCTTACATGTTTTACTCATTAAACTTGGTTCACATTCGGTCTAAAATTTTTTATATAAATAGAAAACTCATTGATTAGCATTGTTCACTTACTTGTTTTCGTTGTGGAAAGAGGATCAAAACTGGAAAATTTATTGTTTTTATAGAATATTTGTTTTTTTTTTTTTTTTTTGAATTAAGGATACTTTAAGCAATTTATTGCTCTAGCTATGAGTAGCTTAACGTGGCTATTTTTAATATTTTTTGTCGGTACGACTTCAGCTGGCACTCATGTAAACATTTCCATATCTGAAGACCAACACGGTCATAGTACCGGCGATCAATATCTCGTTGCAAACAAGCAAAAATCGGCCAAGTTTAAAACTAATGGAATGATCGGCGAGTTACGCGATGATTGCGATGATCGTCGAATTTCAAATCAAATGCAAATTGAAAATCATAATCCAAAAACATATGCTCCCAAAGAGTATTCGGCTCGTTTACAAAGCGCATCCAATCAAACTGCACAGCATACAACATCGGCGCCAACATATCTTCCTAGATTTCCAGCACGTACATCTCCCGCAAGTGTAGGTCACCACACGAAAAATAACGTCGAATTCGAATATTTTATGCAAAATCATTATAGGAAACCAACTGTCAATACGGTAAGAAGGAATGCTTTTCTTCCATCATTTTACTAATTACAAGCATATTACAGGTTTTCGAATCGAATGAAGCAACATCGGGACGCACATCACAAAATACGGGAATTTCGCAGTCAGAAGTTGCGATGGGAAATAGAAAAATGGTTCAGTTTGAACGTCAACAAGCATTACCTGGCAGTGAAGTGAATGAAGAAGTGAGTGAAGAAGATCAAAATGTAGACGAACAACCGATTCAGGAATCTGAAGCCCTTACTGAGGACGATGAAGCAGAAGATAATGAAACAAATGAGGGCGAACCTTATAGTCCCGGCTCTGATACGGTCCATAATCCCATTTCGGAGACATCAAGTAACGAGGATGAGAGTTATTTTAATAATTCTCCAGCTCCTTTATCTGAGAATGATGCATCTGGCTATGAAGACTCTGCGGCAAGCTATATGTCACCTGCTCACGAAAGACCGATGGTAACCAAAACGATACAAATCGCTCAGCCGGCCATTAAAGCGAAAACGTTTGAAGTCCACTTACCGGCCATACAAAAGGAATTCTATGATATTGAAGAACGAGTGGTTATTAAGCCGGCCGGTACTATTGTCGTCGAATTAGAAAGACCGATCGCTAAAATACCGAAAGGTGAGACAATTTTGCCTTTAGGTCATCCGCATCCAGCTGTTGCAGGAGCCTATCAGCCTGATGGCAAAACGCGAGCATCCAGCAATGTTATATACAGCTCTGCAGGAAGTCCACCATCGGCTTCAAACCACCATCACCAGCACGTTGCTACTCATGAGCGTCAAATTGTCAAAAGTTCAACGCCCGGCTCGTCTATTACGGTCGCACCCGGCTACGATCAAAATAGCAAAAAACAAGTAATCGATAATAGTTTTCGAAAACCTAGTCATGCTGTGTCATCCCAATTAAAAGTAATAGGATCGAAAAGTAATACAGCCGTTAATCGGCTCCAAGCGCCGTCAGCTTCGAGACCGCCTACGCTCGGTCGCTTGACAAATGCGCCTGAAAATTCGATTTTGCCGGAGCAACAATCGTCAGATGGTGATGGGATTTTCTTCGAAGCTGAATACATTGATGAAGAGGAGATAAACAGCGCGAAAGGGCCGAAACCAGCGCGGGTACAGGAAGCATACACACAGAAAATGGCAGCAGTAAAGGAAGAACAGCCGATTATTAAACATGAACACAACATTCACTTAGCACCAAGTCAACATAATATTTACCTGACACGTAAAATGGAATCATCCCAAGTGAAGTTCATGCAACCAAAAGTAAACATGGAAGAGTATGAAGAGCCCGCCCATGTCCAAGAAGTTAAAGCGCAACTTTACAAAACTAAGAGACCAGTAGTTGTTTACGCCTCGGCAGAACAAGAACCAATTTACCAAGAAAAGGTACATCAGCCGATTGATCAACGGAGCCACGTCGAATCGAAGCAAGATTATGAGAAACTGAGTCGGGTTCAATACAGTACTCCTTACGCGAAAATGCGTTATCATCCAGAGGATAAGCAATACTACACACAAGTTAAAAAAACTGATGATACAAACAATTATAACGAAAATGCTGTCTCTCCAGGTCCGCTGGCGCCTGATGAGCATATGCACGCGAGTAAAGGAGAAAAAAACCAGAAACCTTATGCACTAGATGAAGGAGAAATGTCTCAAACACGCATAGCCATTACGATACCCTCGGGTAACGCAACACCAAAGGAAAAAAGCAAACCAATTTTCATTAGTTCAACTGTGCGGCCAAAAACGTATGAGAGTCGTGAAGATGTTCCGGATCTAAAAATTTCCATAAGTCACGAGGCAAATCCTAAAGAATTTGGTCATAATGCGAACAACTTCAACAATCATACGCGTTATAACGAACGTAACCACAGCAACAGTAATCACGCCCATAAAGAACGTTTAGCTCACTTGAAACTTGAAACTGATTGTATTCAGGAACATAAGATTGTGAATACGGGACGGAACGAATACAATTTACAAAAATCATCGCAGCTACAAAAGAAAAATCCAAACGAAGAACAGAAATTTATGCGTCTCGTTGAACGGCCTCGGCCAGTTGGTCAAGTCAGAAAAACAGCCAACTATGAAGAGAGTAATGATGAAAATGCTGCAGCACATCCACCGAATGTCGATATATTTCCTAAAAGCACTAATGGTCACGTAGCTGCTGGCAAAGGGTCTCGGGTGATTGCTGCCACTCCAGCTCCGAAAGATCCGTCTTTAGCTAGCGAAAGTTTTCATACACGTCGCATAGTCGTCAATCATCCATTTCAAACGGTACGGGAGATAGTTGAGCACGAGCCTTATACCAATTATCATGAGGTGCAAATTCAAGAGCCCGCCACTCCAGAATTCTTCCAATCTGCAGACTATTTCCAGCCGAGCGGAGCTTTGCGTCAATCACATTCACCCTCCAGCACCGTAAGATCGGTACCAATGTATTATCATTAAGTTTAACGATAACTTCATTTTCGATCTAAGTACAATTCTGAACGCATGTATGTAAAAATATAATACTTAAGCAATCACATATATATACATATCTTATTTAAGTTATGGGTAAAGGTTTTTACATTTTATTTTCGTTAACAGTTGCGTTCGTTTGCCGTTAACAGATAGTGAGCTCGTAAATAAGCGAATAATTATGCGCATGCATATACCATATATATATATATATATATATGTGTGTGTGTGCGTGTGTACATTTTATAATTAATTAAAACGATTTCAATATAAATTGTTTGCAAGTAAGTGCGTCACTGAAAAATGCATGCACGTACTAATAAATATTTGAATACAAAATCTAAGTAAAACTTTGTTCTTTGGTTTTTTACCGACCTTCACAAGTCAGAAGATCAACACAAACGGATCCAAAAATGCATTCACTAAATCCCTCATTTCTAGGTAGAAACTTTCAAATCGGGCATAACACGGATTAGAGATAACGTGGTTAAGTTGGACATTAAGAATGGATTAGCGGAATTTGTTTTAAACTCCCCTATGCAATATTATACCAAAAAGAAGTAAGAACATATAGTTGGGCAAAGCCGATTATTAAACACCCTACATCACCTTGTCTAACATAATTCATATTTCGATTATAGAATACAAAAATTTTGTCTAGGCAAAGGCATATCTTTCACGTGCGTATTTACGGCGAAGCAGGCCGAAAACGCAACCTAATGCAATGCAACGTTTAATTCTTACATAGGGCAGGATGCAAAAATAGGCGTAGATAGTCTTAATTTTATAGAGTTCAGTTTTGCGTGTAATTACTATAATATTATAGGTCCCACTTCCCTCATCGCTTATTAAAACGTAGCCTTTTCTGCTCCACAAAGGATCAATTTTCGTGAAACTCCTTATTAGAGTAGGATCCAAAAAAAAAACTTGGTACACTTAATTTTTTTATGTTAAACTACCATTTTGTCGTATGAATTTCAGTTTTCCTTAAATGACAGGGGATTCAAAAATTGCCCCAGCCGGTACAAAGTTTTCATACCAATTTAGAATGCCGGAACCTTAGTACTTAACTACTTTTGCCGAAAAATTTTGCAAATTATAATATTTTTTCGCATAACCATTTTTCAGAATAGGGCGTTATATGGTGGGGAGTGGTCGAAAAAGTGAACCGATTCAAAATATCTCAAGAACTGTAGCTTGAACACAATTTTTCCATGAATAGATATCAGATTAACAGACGGACAGGTAGGTTTAGATCAGTATAATAAACAGTGGGCCTCATTTAAGACCTTCTGCGTTTTGCATACGTCCGCACTAACTTAATATACTCTGTACCACAAGTGGTGTAGGGTATAATTATTGTCTAATATCGAAATTAAACGAATAATAAAAGAGAATAATAATCGCCAAGGACTGTTTGCTTGGATTTACTAAATCAGCAAAGGCCACTGATTGGTACTATACATCGAAGCGAAAATAATTCTGCATCGACCTCCCTTGTTGCCGTAGGCAATAGGCTAATGGTTTCTGAGAGGGTTCACATGTTTTATTTCCCTGGTTTATTTGATTTGTATAATTATTTATTCGTGGACCTTTATTCTTTACCTAAGTGTGAAGTATAATAGCTTGGCGGAAAAATTTTCTCGCATTAAACTACTTGGAGGTAATTTCACTTGTCAGGTCATTGCAGCAAGGTAGAATGCGTCATCTGGGCAGTCCTATTATATTGATATAGTGTACCACCCGTGGCATATACGAGGATTATTTGCAATACCCTTCATCAGTTAGTTGCTAGATGCCAGACCAAACAAAGTGCAGAAGATAAAGTGAGTTTAAGATAATGCCTTTGGTATGAGCTGCAGAATGAAAGCAAGGCATGGTTTGGCTCTAAAAACTCGTGTCACACGGCGACAAGTGAAGTTATTCTTGTACAGTTACTATGGCATCAGCCATAGAATATGCATTCAAAATTTTTGTAGATTTATCTACGATAGTTTTGCGAGTAATGAGTAAAAAATCAACATTTTATTCTTTTTGAAAAACACTGTTTATGTGAGACTGTAGACCTGTCCTTCGATCGACTTAGCCGCTTTTCAATATCTACCTGAGTACAAGAACCTTTAATATTTCTGCCACACTTGAAGTTGATAGTTTCATCTTTGCGGCCAGGAAAATATCTACAACAAACATTACGCAAATGGACAGACGGACACGCGTGAATCGCCTCAGAATTTGATGTTGATCAAGAATATACATGCTTTGTCTCTGAAGCCGCCTTCTAGGCATGGTAAGCGATGAATCTCATCCCGATCCGAAAGTAAAAAAAAAAAATAAAAACGACACACACACACACATTTCTTTGGAATTTTTCTATTTATAATAATAGACTTACAAGAGCTCTCTTAAAAAAACTATTAAGCACCTTATGAACTTTTAATAATTTCCGTTGAAATTCAACAGATGATGAAAGAATCTTTAACAAATAATTTAATATATAAACTTAGGGAGAGTAAAAAGTAACAAATCAAACATAATCTTATCGATAAGGGTACAGCAAGAACATAAATCTTATCTACGCTTAATCCAACCGGCATTTTTAAATAATTTGTAAACCATATCACGTGGTATCTTTTCAGCTTCGCGGTCAAACACTGGCATTTCGTTGCCGGTAAACCATGAATCTTTGGCTAATGCAGCCGCAATATGTGGATTATTTAAGAAGCGATGACTTTTCGAAAGTTCAGGTGGAAGCTGCGACTCCCGCAAGGAATTGTCCACTACAGCCGGATGGGCAAATTGCCCAGCACCAGACGACTGATAATATGGATTGCCACCAATTCCAGATGATTGATGATACAAGAATTGAGCTTCACAAATCGCAACATATACAATAAGAAACGATAGCCATAAAATGTACATAATGCTGAACTGAAAATTAAAAAAAAAGTCAAATATTAAATAAATACAATAATGTAAAGAAAAATATTTTCTTTATTTAACACTTAGGTCGCCGTCATGTTATACACTATTCTTTTGCACACATCATCGGACGATGTCCTTGAAAACGTAAGTCGAAAATGTGCAAGGCTTTCACAACACATTTACACCATTTGTGGTACGAGGGCATATCAAGTATGTGCGTATGTGTGCAATACCTATAAGAACTTGATGTAGAGGCATCGTTTTGCTATATGAATCAGCTTAGAATCGCTTTCTCAAGCTTGTCCAAGCTTGTATGTCCGTCTGTCCATTTGGTATTTTTGCATTCAACCTACAAATTAGAAATTTTTGTGATATTTTCATGAACATGTTTTGGCCCACGATCGAAAGCTATTGAAAATATTTCGGGGCGGATCATCTTTTTCGATCACTTCTCGTATAACGCATTACCTTGAAAAAGAATTATATGAATAACTGTATTAAGCGACGTGCTGCAGGGTATCTAACAATAGGTCATGGCCGGTTTTGTAATTGTTTATATTGAAGCATTTTGCGAAAAGTCTCCAAGATCGGAAATGAAATTCGGCTGATTCTAAGTCGGCTTATTGAGTGAGAGAACATTGTCAAGGTCATAGGAAATGATATAATTAGAGAATCCGTAAATTAGTGACCTATAAAGTGAACACGGACAGGCAATCTTAAATCGATTCAGAAAGTGATGCTGAATGAATCGATATAATTAATCAAAGATAAATCTACCTCAAACGAATCTTTCTTGCTTTTGCATACATCCGCACAAAGTTAATATAGCCTTTTGCCACAAGTGGTATAGGGTGCGAATACATTACCAAAGAAATTGTACACTCTCACAATCAATAAATACTAAATGCAGAGGTGCATTTCATAGAAAATTCGAAATTATGGCGAAACGTGGGAAAAATGTAAATTGTTGGCTTGATTGGCAGGCGGGCTCGCAAAGTTGAAGAAGTGCGAAAATATGTCGTCGGGTAATTCGCTACCAAACCAATAATATCGCCATGTTGCCAAAAACAAATGTAAAATGTTGTAGAAAACGTTGGAAACTATTCTCATTATACATATTAAATCAACTTTCCGCAATATATGCCTTCTTCAAGTCAAAAAGGGATCAAAATTCATGCAAACACCTAACAATGCTTATCGAAATAGTTTTACTGGCAGAAGGAGCAACTGTTTTACATCAATTTCTAAAAAATCGATCAGTTGTTCGATCAGTTTTCTTTACTGCACCGAACACATGAATTTAATTAAGCTAATTAATTAAAGTTTGCAGAGAATGCAGCTTGGTTTCGAACGCATTTATGATTGCAATAATTTTTCGCATTTTTAACTACTTTTCCGAATTCCGAATATCAATATTCTCCAATTGTCGGATTGCTGTTAAATAGCAATCCCTCCTCTCGCGAAGAACACTTCTCCAGCCACTGTCATAATATCGCCTATGCAATGATAACTTATTTGATTGGAAAGTATATGTCATTAAGAAGCAAAGCTAGGAAATAAGTAAAAGCATTATAGTCAGGCAAAGCCGATCGTTAACTATCCTGCATCACTTCGCCTAATAAAATTCATCATTTATTTACGCGATGATATATCAAAAATTATAAAGCGAAGGGGTCGCGACAGATAAGCACACGTGATCCCAGTTTAGCAAAATTAATTTTCCGCTCAAGTATCTTATTACTCTTTAGCCCATTTTCGTCATAAAGTGTTAACAAATAAATCTTGCTCTTGTATAAAAGTTTTCCCTTCAGGGAAGTCCTTTTATGCGATCGGAAAGACCTCTACTCGAAGTTTAGTACAATTACTTAACATTTTCACCATAAAATATTAAAAATTATATGATTTCACCATACGAAAGCTTACTTTTCAACAGCATTTTACACTAGGTGGAAGTTCGAGCCAAAGAATAACTCCAGATGGCCTATCTTATGCCGATTTCTATTACAAAATATTGAAAAGTGAGCCTTTTCCTCGCAGGACGATTTCACATCAAATAATATTGCTCAGAGATTATTATTGAGACATTTTTAAAAATGCGAATTTTTCCCGTATAACGAGAGCAAGGCGTTTTGTTAAAAGGATAGGGGGGTGTGACGCAGCGGATTAATCCCATCCAATCTATTTGCACTAGGATTTCTCCTTGAGCCAAGTCTTGTCAGTGTATTAAATTTTGTTAAAGCATGGACGGACAGACAAATTTAAGTCGATTCACAAAATACTTCCAAATCGAACGAGTCTATTCCAAGTTTTTCGGGGTCATTACATAAATCCGCACAATTTCAATATATCCTGAATTATAGAAGCGATGTAGAATATAATTAAGAGCATCTCTCTCTCTCTCTCTCTCTCTATCTCTGCAAATTTGGTTTGCAATAATTCTTCTTTAAATCTTTTAGCCGATTCTTTATAATATAGTTGCAATAAAAATTCTTTATCCACTGAACTTCTGGTCGCCAATTCGGATTTTCGAATAAATGAAACAAAAAAGAAAAATATCACAACGGAAAGGTATTAAAGATGAGAACAAATCTCATATATCCAACTACTTTCTCATGGCGTGCTTAACATAAATTACACTTAAATGTAATTTAAATTAAAACAAAATAAAACTCTTCCACCTTTTTTGGGATGCGCTCGGATCTTATGTTAAGTGCTATGGTAAATTGACTCATGGACATTAAAGAGTTTTATGGTTTATATATGTATACTCATGTATTTCCAAATTAAGCCTTAATCAAGCTTATTCCTGCGTCCTTCAGCCAACATCCATGCGTCTCTCGACAAAAAAAAAAATCTAACATTTAAATAAAAAAAATGACTCAGCCATATTAAGCGCCCCGCATTTGAACTTAATTGATTGAGTTCTTCTCTTTAAGTATATCTGTAACGCGTGCATATATTTTATGGTTCTCTATTTTTCACAAAAACATACATACATATATATAAATGCATGCATGCATGCATTCATGCATACAAACTATAATAATAGTAATAATAATAATAATAATAATAATAATAATAATATAATAACTCCGTCACACCCACCGGACTTGCAATTAAACTAAAACTGATTATTTTTAATAAATTCACTGGAAATTCTTTTAACGACACAATTGCTGTTTTATGCGAAACTAAAATTAGAATTGCTCTGCATCGGACTTTTATGTTGAGATTATTATAGTATAGTGCGTAGTGCATAGGTAAACGATAAAGTGATGGAAAGGCTCTCAACTACTAACAGCAGTAGTCGGAGTAAGGTAAGCATGCTGCTGCTACTCAACTATTTGATAATAAGACGTAAAGTTTATAACTTTAACCTAAAGCATATTTCGACTTGCATACGTTTATATATATGCATCTGATTGCTACATTAAATTTATCGTTTCATTTGTCGTTTATTATTCACTTTTCGAAAAATAAAAAATAAAAAATTTAAAAAAAAATACAAATTCAAAGGTAGTCAGTCAGTCAGTCGTGAGCAGAGTTTTTCATAAAATTGAAATTTTTGATTTCAATTAAATAATCGACTCCTTGCTTGCTAGTTCGTATAGTGGCAAACGTTGAGCGAAACCAACCAATGATATGATATATGATGTTTGTTGAGGGTATCAATTGTGTTACATAAAAACATGTTTTTTTTTTTTGTTTTTTCAACGTTCTCCTAAAGATTTATTATTGCCATTTTACTATGTTTTCAAGATACAAAATGATTTCAAAATGAGAAAACGCCCCAGAATACTCTAATATGCGAATATATAACTCATTTCATTTTCGTATATATATGTACTATACTTAAGTATACGTACGTAGTCGCGATTACAATGACAATTAACAATCAAACAGCATTAATTAATTAATGTACGTTGATCTTGAACAGAAAATTTGTTTTGAACTTGTAATAAATACACATATGCACTAATCTAAATGTGCGAACAAACTATACGAGGGCGATATGATAAATAATGAAGTCAGAGAAAGGAACATGCTTTTCATCTTTTTTTTTTTTTTTTCTTATGTGTACTTGAAAATGCTAGGATGAATGCGGCAGCCATTCACATCCGAAACTCTCGTGCCTCCATCGCCTTGAAAATGAAAATTTTTCAAAATACTTTGCCTACATTGAAAACATGCGAATATTTTTCATTTCTTATGACTATTTTCAAGCTTAAGCTTTGAATTCAATAATTAACTATATCTGTATATATATACACATATATATATATATATATATATCAAGTCTTACATACCGTTGTATACATACCTGTTAGATACAAGCAAGTTGATCTAAAATCTTATATTATTCATTAAAATGCTGTGGTAGGGGTAAGTCTGCAAGACGAGTAGCCGAATAGCCAAATAAAGTAGGTAAGAACCGCGAGAAACAAGTCCCTGTTCGCGGATTCAAATCTCAATGCGGTAAAGTTTACTCTGGTCGTAGTTTACTTCAGCCGGTAAAGGTATAACACTTACTGGCTGATCAATTAAAAAAAAAAAAAACAACAACAATATATGGCGTTTTTAAACATTAAATGCTCTGATCTGGAGATTATTTTGATAATCAATGTTTTCTGTTTCTCATATTTTTAAACCTAATTTCGAATAATAGACAAATCTTAAAAAAAAAAAAAAAAGAGTTCAGACAGTTATGAGCGTTCCATAGCGAAAGCTGGTTTCGGTCAGCTTAGAAAGGTGAGACAACCGTCCATACTAATGAGTTTATATCGCTCCAATTTTTACTGCATTGAAGACGTCCGATTTTGTGTTAATTGCACAGCATTTACCGGAGATTTTAGCTTTTCACTTTAACTGGAAGAAAAGTGCAGCTGAAACCACATCGCATAATTGTAAAAGTTTATGGCGAGAGTGCTCGAGCTGAAAATTATATAGAAAATGGTGCTTTTAGCTTTGAAGATCAACACCGGCAACAGTGCTGGCCCAACGAAGATTGCAATCAAAAGGAAGACTATTTTCCAGAATTCTTTAGGATAAATGAACAAGCAGTTCTCGTATTATTGAAATGGATAAAAGCGAACTAACTTGTATGTCCAAAAATTTCACAATACTTTCAGATCCTATCGTTTTTTATAAGAACATTGAGATTACTTTTGCGAGCTTATATGAACAACACTTTTCACTCTTTAGACAGCTAAAGGTTTCTATAAAAAAAGAAGTAATCTTCCAGAATGGAACAAGCTTGTTCACCTACCTACCAGATGATCGTCATTGTTCACTGAACACAAACTTGAAATTTTGGAATAAAAATCAAAAATTAATTTTGCTACATATACTCCGTGCAGCTGTGTACAAGTTACAAATAAAAAAAAAAAAGTGTTTATTTATTGCGATAAGTAAAAAAAATTGTTAATACAACTTTGTATAGATTACGAAAATTTACTTGTTTCCACCCCATCCTAGAAAGCCTTTCACGAAACCAGATATGCCCTTTTTATCGGGTGCTTGCAGTTTTTCTTCTAACGATGGTAGTTCCACATAGTTCAAGGCCAAGTCAAAGAATAGGGGCTTACAAGGTATGGCTTCCATTTCGGGAGTTAATTTGAAAACATTAGGATTCTTTGTGAATAGCGATTGATCCTCTTTATATTGAGATAATCGTTCGAATAATGGTTTGGAAGATTTTTGCGATTTGGATGTAAATATTGGATCATCGTAATTATCATTTTCAAGTACACTATAAGCATGTGCCGAAAATTTGCACCCGTCAATGGTAATTACAAGCTTTTCAAGGTCATCTAACATATTAAAATTGTCACAGAACGGACCCTTCAAAGCCTCTGTCGCATATTTTGAAGCACGCTCGTAGAGAGCAACTGCCTCTTTCCACTTTTTCATGTCGATTAAGGTGAGCGCGATGTAATAACAGCGGAACGCCTTGAACGTTAAGGCCAAGTTTTCAATTTCACGTTGATACGTGGTATGATCTTCCATGCCCAAAATCTGTTGCATTTCGCTAACATTTTGCAATATGATTTCATACAAACGTGCCAAATCCTGAGAACGCACCCTTTTCCCATCCAAAGCGATTTGAGATTTTTGATTTGGATCATCAAAATTGGCTTTTGCCTGCTCAACTAAGCATAGGTTACGCTGTAGTGTACGATTAAGCCGTATGTACGATAAATAAGCCAACAAATATTGAACTCCAGAAACGGGTTGACCAGTAGTCAAGGAACGTAGTTTTGGATCCTGTTTAATTTCATCCTTAACGGATTGAATGGCATCCTTACAATCCATTAAAGTACGTTCAATCAGTTCAATTTTGGCATCAATTTTTGTGGTTTTTTCAAGACCTTTATCCAACTCCTGAGCGCTAAGAAGGAATAAACGAACCTTTTCGGGACGAACAGTAACTTTACGCCCGCGCCACTCGATGGTTTGCAAACCATCACTGCTTTCGGATTTTGTTTGATTTACTAAAGCATCTAAATTCTCTAGCAGGCCTTGTGCTCTCATTTCTAGCAAATCATCCATGTTACCGCCCATAGTGCCGCCACTGATATTGTAAGCGCAATAGCGTAAATTTGGAGTAAATTCATTTACTTTCGCCTTATATAACTCCTGCTCATCGTCCGGTAGAGCCTTAGCTAAATTTTCGTACACCACTTGAGCACGTTTCAAATGTTCCCCAGCTGTTTTCCACGACTGCAATTCAAAGTGCAGCGTGCCGTGCATCCACGCAACATACGCTTCACACTCTAACTTCGTTCGTGCGTCAAAAATTTCCAACTACAAAATAATGGAAGAGAAACGAACATTTGGATTAATTGTTCAGTTAACAACAATTACATACCGTGCACAATTCCTGCAGCTGTAACGCATATCCACAAGCTTTTCTTAACTTGCTTATTAAGTGAAACCGCTTCCGGGGCTCAGTGTTCGCTTCTTGTTTCAACTGCATAGCGTAGGACCATGCTCTCTCGGCACTTATAAGAGGTATATAAATGAAACGTTCATCAGCGCGCTTCCCCGTCAGTTCAGCAAACGTGACATCGCGACGCTTGAAATGCCTTTTATCGCCCTGAGGGAACTTAAGCGCTTTTCGCAAACGCCGTATACGTCGGGAACAATATCCACGGTACCGCTGATAATCGCCATGACGTAAACCATGCTGTTGTTGAGCTTCCTTAATCATATGCAGTACTGGCAATAAATGAAATTATTACTTTATATTTATATATATATATATACTTATATATGAAACTTCAAAATTTTAGTTGGTTACCTTCAATTCTGAACACTCTAATCGGTTCCGCTGATTGATTCGTTAATCCTTGATTACTTTCGGATTTCTCCAGGTTACCATTATTATTAACCTCATCAGCCATGATTTTAAATTAACTTTATTCAATTATACAAAAAAAAATAGTCTTAAAACTCTCTACCGAAAAAACAGAAAGCCTGACCTGACTGTCAAAACGTCATCAAAAAAATGTATTGACAACTCATAATAGTGTTGATAACAAACCACATAAGCGAACATAAACGTTAGTTCATTTTTACCTGTTTCTCTCTTCTAGTCAGCTAAATTGGCAAATCTAAACTTTAAATTTTATAATGGGAAAACACATTGCGGCTTAATTACTTTTTCAAGCGTGGAAATTTAATGCATATGCGTTACTTTCAACGTACTCAACTTTAACTCTGGCACTTAAGAGAGCAATCAAAATTCAAATAAAAATTAAAAAAAAATATATTTATTATTAACTATTAAAGGGAACTATGTGCCAACGGCACAGATGTTTTAAATTTCATTTTCCCAAACTGTGAGGGCTTCACAGGACCCTGTGAAAGAAAATAACGTGATAACTGTAAAATATTTAAGATTTCATAATACCTGGAATATCAAGTGAAGAAAATTCATAATTTCGAGAATTATTTTTGCTATTTAGCCATTCACTAAAGAACTCTTCTAACTATAGTAGAATCTGTGTTAAAGGAGAAGCGACCTATTTTTTCAATATTATAGAGGAACATTTGCGACAACATAGTGCCGATAAAGAAAGAGGGAGGCTCAAGAAGACGAAAAGAAAAAAAAAAGGAGAAAGTTACATATTATATGATTATATGTGCTCACTAAGATTTTCAGTTTATATTGTATTCTAGTTTATTTATTTTTTTCTTCAATACCCTTTCAGTCCCCCTGAATGCCACTCATTTATGTCCCAGCGACATTTATAGAGTGTATAGAATATGTATGCAAACGCATGCAACGAGACTCCTTTATTGGGTTATACAATATTTGGCAGCGAGGAAATCGTGCCTACATGTTTAAGGGAAATAAGGGAACTAGTAGGAACCTACACACAAAGTGTTAGTGGCAACTAAAAGTAGCTAATGAGTGTATTTTGCTTATATTTTGGATTTGTGACACTGCATCAATTGCCTTTGTAATATAATATTTAATAATAATAATTTTAATATTTAATGTATTTTTTTATAACACTATTTACAGACTGAAGGAAAATACAACTCTACAAACCGTTAACAAAATGTGAGCGGTTATTCTTATTCTTTCCTAGAATGCTAAGTTTTGAGTTGATAATTTTTGATAAATAAAAATTGTCATTTTATAATTTGCCGTTGCTTATAAATATTATCTGGATTTCTTCTTCTTCTATAGTCAGCAAATCTCTAGAACAGATGAGTACAAACTTGCCAAGATTTATGGTTGCGCAAAACAATGCTGAAATTGGTGTTGCGTACAAAGATGTTGTTGCATTTGATGCTGCGATTCTCTTATCGGAAGAGCGACAACTTGGCATCACTGCCACTTGTCTTTTCTTTTGTTATGTGGAAAGGTGCGGTTCGTAAAGACTGAAAGTTTTATTGAGAAAGTAAACATTCTAATCATTTAAAAGGGAGGCTACACTTTTTTATAGCATTGTTGCAAAAAGTAATATTTTTCGTGGAATAACATGAATGAAACAGAATCACTTCAATCTGTTGGCAATGCGATGGCAAGAATTTCGAGTTAGTTGGCATCACCATTTTCTCCTTTAGACGGGTGCCACGAGTAGGTTTCGTCAACTTTTTTTAAATATAAATTAAAGGTAAATTAAAAATTTTCAGAAAATTCGATCCTATTTAAAACTGCACGTGATAAAGAGGGGAAGATAATATAAGATTAGGGAGCATATAAAATATCTGCAATTTCTTTTATTTATATGTTAGTTTATTCATATATTTTGGTTCAATATGTTATAAGTATTCGTGACAACGTGTGATCATTTTTTTATATCGGGGTAAATCGGATGAAAGAAACTGGTAAATGACAAACTAAATTAGATCTAGTATTGCTTAGTTGATTCCATGAGACATCCTTCACAGTTCACATTTTGAATACGATAAATGAGATTATCAATTTTTCTGTGTATACGTACTTTTTCATTTAGTTTTAAGGGTGTGGTATCAATCTGCTCATTGGCCAACTCCCAGCTCTAACCTATCTGTAATATATCAATAATCATTGAGTGTTGCATTTATGATCGATTTGGTAGTTTTTAGTTTATATTACATTTAAATTTAAATCTTAATGTTTTTGATAAACTGATTCTGATTCCAAATTTTTTTCTTAGCCTACGATGTCGCATCGGAGGGACCACGAGGAGACAGACAAGCAGACACGTATAGCCATTGTCAGCGATGACAAATGCAAACCAAAGCGTTGCCGTCAGGAGTGTAAGAAGTCCTGTCCGGTAGTTCGAATGGGTAAGCTCTGCATTGAAGTAAGTCCCTCGTCAAAAATAGCGTCGCTCTCCGAGGAACTGTGTATTGGTTGCGGTATTTGTGTAAAGGTGAGTTAAAATTGACCCTACGGGATAAAACAAACAATTGTTAGTATATTTGCTTTTATAGAAATGTCCTTTTGAGGCCATTACCATTATTAACATTCCCAGCAATTTGGAAAAACATACTACACATCGCTATGGCAAAAACTCATTTAAATTGCATCGCTTGCCAATACCGCGACCAGGCGAAGTGCTCGGCTTAGTTGGCCAGAATGGTATAGGTAAATCGACTGCTCTTAAAATTTTGGCAGGAAAGCAAAAACCCAACTTGGGACGTTATCTGGAACCACCAGATTGGACTGAGATATTAGCATACTTTCGTGGATCCGAATTACAAAATTATTTTACCAAAATCCTTGAAGATAATTTAAAGGCTCTTGTTAAACCGCAGTATGTCGACCAGATCCCGAAAGCGGTGCGTGGAGCTGTTGCCGAACTTCTTGATAAGAAAGATGAACGCAAAAATCAAACGGAAATATGTGAAATGCTTGATTTGTTAAATATTCGGGATCGTGATATCGCCGAATTATCTGGTGGAGAATTGCAGCGTTTTGCTATTGCAATGGTGTGCATACAACAGGGCGATATTTTTATGTTCGACGAGCCTTCTTCTTATTTGGATGTTAAGCAACGCCTAAACGCAGCTTTAACTGTACGTCATTTACTTCATCCTACCAAGTAAGCCCATTGGACGACGAGAATCTCGCATATAACTTACAACTATTTTATAGGTTTATAATAGTCGTGGAGCACGATTTATCAGTGCTGGACTACTTGTCCGATTTTATATGTTGCTTGTACGGTGTTCCTGGTTGTTATGGTGTGGTTACCATGCCTTTTTCCGTACGTGAAGGTATCAACATTTTCTTAGATGGTTTTGTGCCCACGGAAAACATGCGCTTCCGTACCGAATCGTTAACTTTTAAAGTATGCTTTCTTGCAATCCACTTTATTATATATGTAATACAAAGTGCAATATGGTTTCCAGGTTTCGGAATCTGCCACAGAGGAGGAAATTAAGCGCATGGAACATTACATATATCCTGCCATGACCAAGACTTTGGGAAAATTTACTCTAACGGTTGAAGAGGGTCATTTCAGTGATTCGGAAATTTTGGTGCTGCTTGGCGAAAACGGTACTGGAAAGACTACATTCATTCGAATGTTAGCTGGTAATCTACAACCAGACGATGACGTTGAATTGCCAGTTTTGAATATCTCTTACAAGCCACAAAAAATTTCCCCCAAATTTCAAAACCACGTGCGCCATTTGTTGCACGAAAAGATACGAGATGCTTATGTGCATCCACAATTTATTGCTGATGTCATGAAACCTATGAAAATTGAAGAAATTATGGACCAAGAGGTTCAAAATCTGTCAGGTGGTGAATTGCAGCGTGTCGCTCTGGTGCTTTGCTTAGGAAAACCAGCCGATGTCTATCTTATCGATGAGCCGTCTGCTTATTTGGATTCCGAGCAACGTCTTGTTGCCGCCAAAGTCATTAAACGGTAAATAAAATTAATATTGAGAATATTAAGGGGCAACATCTTTTATTATTTGATCACAGGTACATTCTCCACGCCAAACGCACCGGTTTTGTCGTCGAGCACGATTTTATTATGGCTACATACTTGGCTGACCGCGTCATTGTGCTAGAAGGCCAACCTTCAGTTAGAACAACGGCCTATTCGCCTCAGTCCCTTTTGAATGGCATGAATCGTTTCTTAGAGTTACTGGGCATTACATTTCGACGGGATCCAAACAACTATAGGCCACGAATTAATAAAAATAATTCTGTTAAGGTACAATCACCAATCCCCAGTGCACGCACTTCATGTTTAATCAATTTAATATTTCCAGGATACTGAGCAGAAACGTTCTGGCCAATATTTCTTTCTCGATGACGATAATGTTAAATAAGGACAAGTTTGGTAAAAAGTTTCAAATCCTGAACGGTTTAGCAGCGTTTAATTCTAAGCGAATTTCAAGTGATCTTCCTACACATAATACATTAGACGATGCCTTCTCAAATTCACTCAAGTTGAGTCGATGTTTACACGTTTTTTAGGACGCCTCCTAATCAACTCATTTTCTTTCTTTTTTTTTTTTCTTTTTTTTTTTTTTTCTTTTGAATACTTGGATAGAACATGTTCCATGAATAATTAAACAAAATATCTACACAAAGGTATCCTCCTCAACTAAAAATCCGTGTAAATACATGTATATAAGATAAACGAGTAATTACATGTTGAAAAGAACAATAAACTGAAGGTTCGACAAGTTTATAAAAAATTTTCAAGATTTTCTTAAAATAGCATTTATAAAACAATTTGACAATTTTGAAAGAAAATATATTTTTAACTTTAGTTCTATAACACAATTTTCACGAAATACCTGCATTCTACATTATCCACATTTTATCACACTTTCGCATTATTTACATTATTTACATGTTTAACACGATTAGAAATTTACGATTGGTTTTCATAATGCGAGTGCAGATTTTCTAATATCCTGACAAGTATAAGCGATTTGCCGATACCCGACTGGCACTTTACGATTTTACGATTTCTTGCGGTACAGGGTATATTAAATTTGTTCGCACATATATAACACTTGGAAAGTTTTAATATTGATCTGTCCTTTCATAATAGCGATCACGCTTCTGTCTGTCCTCGTATTTTTATATTAAATTTCGAAATTGTTGAAATAATTTGATGAAACTTTTGGTATACAACATGTTTCGACTACTGCTCCCCATATACATATAACGCCTTATTTTGAAAAAAAATTGTAATTTCCCAAATTTTTCGACAAAACTCAATGTGCAATAGCATCTCGGTATTCTAAATTTGTATAAAGAATATAGTTCGGCTGGGGCAATCTTTTGATTTTTCTCTCTCTCGTAAAACCGCTCCCACGAAAACTAAATCTTTTCACAGTAAAAATGTATAATTTATAACATTTTGTGGCGTGAAAATGACCAAATTTGGACTACGTAGGCCTACATTTTTCAGTGGTAACGGATATGCAGCCTTTCATAAAAAGAATGCCTTGGAATGAAAATAATGTGTCATTTTTGTTGTATTATTACCAAAACAAGTTTACTAGGCGAACCGGTGTAAGGTAAGCGGTAGAATGATCGGTCTCGCCCGACTATAATGCTTTTATTTGTTTTATTTCTGACAAGTTCTTCACTTCTTACCTGTGCTTGCCTTCTCTAAGTCGAAGCTCTTGTCTCTTGCATTTTTCTTTTTTCTTTTTTTTTTTGGAAAATCGTCTTCTGTTTTTGCTTTCTTAAATTTCTTATATGTATATAGTTGTATATATAGAAGTATGACAAAATTAATGTTCGCAGGTTCAAGTCCCAAACGCGGTACAGCTTTTCTTTGGTCGTGCTCAGTCGACAAAGGCGTAATATTTATCGATTGAACACACACGCACTAGGCTGCGTCTACGACTTCGCTATCTCTTTCCCTTTCCCTCCCGTCGTTCTGCCCACATCACATCACCGTGTTATACGAATAGATGACATCCCCTGACCGATTGTTCATACAAAAAGAAAAAGAAAAAAAATGAATTTGTGTTTATTATTAGTATTGTTCTTGCAAGTAAGTATGCGTGCATTATTATATATGAGAATTTCAATTTTCATTTACGATTTTTTCAATATTCGAAATAAATAATGAGTAGCGCAAAGGATTTCTTCTCCGGTGCTTGTAAAAAACATATGCAATTTTAAAATTTTGTCTAGAATGCTAAACGTATCCTCCCTCGAGCGCAATCCGTTCGTTCAGTTTGCTAAGGTAAGGATGGAGGCACGCCTTATGTTAACACATTTTTTTTTTTTATGGCTGCAATATATGCTAAGGTGCTTATAGCAGTAGTTCGCATAGCAAATTCAATTTTCAATCTATTAAAACTTATTAAGTGGATATAGGGCCTTCCAATAAGTGCGGAAAAGGAAAAGCATACAGTTTTGTTTTTCGATGGAACCGAATTCTAAATATAATATCATTGAAATTGTCACGACGGTTTTGCACTCGATGAAAACGGTTAAAACAACGTGCGAGCATTTTATCAATAGTGCGCTCAATATTTATTGTTAATGAATGCAATCTCAAGCCGCAAGAAGAAGTTCAAAGGTATGAAATCACTGCTACTTCGGGACCAATTCATATCGAAATTAATACTTCACTAAACTTCTTATCAGATAATCAGATAAATGTATTTGACCAGCGTCGTAGGGGCGATCCTGTATTAATGTTTACACGGTCTAGTTTAAGACGGATTGGGTGTTGAGTGCAAATGTCTTAATAAACTTAGTCATTTTAATTGAATTTAAAGCGGAATCGCTTAATTGCTCTAACAAAGATGACAGCCATAGATGCTGCTTGCGCTTTAAGTTTTTAGTCTTGGGATTTGTTGACAATTGTGATGAGAACTCCTCTTCAGGGAAGCTGGCCAAAAGTATATGATTATAAGAGAGTTTGATTCGAATTTGATTAAAATAAATTGCGATTCGCTAGGAAAAAATTTAAAAAAAATACGATATATTCACCTCGAAATATTCTAGAAAAAATCTTGCACGATATTTTTCTACCGATGCTCAATTCCGGCCATACACGTTGAAATCTCATTCTTCTCTATCAGTTTCTTTTCTCAAAATTATTCGAATGGGAAATTCCGATTTTGATAAATCAGTCATAGGATAGAAGCACACTTTTTACACTTGACGCACAGCTAAGTGATGGAAACATGAAAATGAATTCGCAAGCAACTCCAAAAACTTCATCTTCAGAACATTTAATCTTTTGGCGGAAGCCCTGAAAACTTTCGAACTACTCTCAAGCTCATGTCTAATTAACAATCGTCGCAGTGAAACTGTCCTAACATGTATTTCCCATTTATAGAAATGCTTCTAAACGAATCGAAAAACACTCTCTTAAGACATCCATTAGCGTTTTATGTCATACGTATGTCATTTTAAAATCATATCTTGTTTGGGGGCCCCCTCATCTCCTAAGAAATTTGTCGATTGGCTTCATAGGAATAAAGAAAAAAAAAAAAAAAACACTTTTGCGTATTCACTAACCAAATGAGATAAAAATGAAACCGCTTTAAGAAGACGGAATCAAAACTGCAAGTGTAAGTGAAGACAATTAAGAGAAGGGAATAATTTTTATATATTTCCAATAAAAACCCTATAAAAGTGAGAAATGGTGGTGAGTAACAAGTTGAAGTGATTTCACGATTACGAATTTTCGCTGTCGTTTCGATGGTGTGATGAAAATAGGTATGATAATCGAGCAGAGATCAAATGTTTTTATTTTCTCGAGCATTTTTCGATACAAAGATTAAGAGATATCTTCCTTTGTTTGAAATTACAATGCTCGATAATTACTAAGCAGAAAACCATTCGTATGTATGTCATTTGGACAAGTTCGACTTTTGGCGACAGCCAGTCAGGAATATCGTGCCGGTAATGATTCGCAGTAAATCCAAGTGTCGTTGACAATCAGCAAACTGTTCAGTAAATCATTACATTCGATGCCCTATTCCTCGAACTTTGTCTCGGAATCATCTGCTTTTTCTTATCGGACATTTTTTCCTTGAATGTATTGTAGACATGCCTATCATTTAATCAATAGTATATACCGGCAAAAAACAAATGCTAGCTATGAGCTGTAGCTCATAATTGAGTAAAATTAATATTTGGGAAAATTTTATTCATCCTATAAAATGTGTGTGTTTCTACGTAAAGTGTAGTGGGGGTTACAAATTTTTACAAATTTAGACCAGACGGCCCCGTCCACGTTCCGTTTTGTGAAGTCAACTGCTCTCCTCTTTATGACTGATATGCGTATCTTTGGATAGTTATTACTGATAGTTCGACCAAGTATTAATGTCCTGACAGAAGCCTCATCTACTGATAAAACGCTAAGAATATTTTACAAATTATCTTAATAATCACTTTATTGATCGGATTCTATACACATAACACTCGCGAAAAACTCTTTATTTCTTTGTATAAATGTTTGCTTTTTATACCCACCACTGTAATTTTGTTCTTTTTTTTCCATAATGTGTGTAACATTCGAAAGGAACTTTCAAAGGCTTTATAAAGTATATACATTCTTGATCAGCCTGAAATTCTGAGTTGATCTAGTCCTATCTGTCCGTCTGTATGTCTATGTGGTGTATGCTATTGGCATTCTCCGGGTCGCAAAAATTAAGATATCGATTTCAAATTTAGCAGAATCATTGGAAGTTTCTGCACACAGGTTGGTATTGAAAATTAGCTTAATTGGTCAGAGTACAAGCACGCAGTGGAGCGTAAACTAAACGCAATCCAGTTTTTTCTAATAAAAATTTTTGGATTTTTACTTGTTACTCGGAAAATATAAAAGTAAAAAAATCTGGAATTTTACATATTTGCTTTACGAGACACTTTACTTTCTAGGTCCAAAACTCAAACCAATCGGCGGTGTCGACAAAAAGTTACGAGTAATTACATTTTCTTTTTTTTTCCACTTTTTGACGTTTTTGTGCTTATTTGTCGTAAGGCAAACAATATCAAATGTTTAAAAATAATTTGTACACTCCTTAAATGAAGATATAATATCCGCATAAAAATGGATTCATTTTAAACTGAATATGGTAGACACCGCGATTAATTTTTTCGCAATAATACCAGCGATATGGGTATCAAATAAAAGAACTTGGAGAGTAGAATGCGAAAAGCATAGTGGTGGGTATGTGAGGTTCGGCCCCGGCCGAATATAACTTTCGTACATGGTATTAGTAAAGTAAATCAAATCGTTCCGCAGCGGAATACTGAAACCCAAATTCTGTCTATGCTGAGTTTAATCTTTTTAGCACAGCACATGCTTGTACAATTCATTTATTCAATTAGTTAATTGAAGTTAATCTAATAGCTTGTTATATGAACGCTTTTGAAGAGAGAACGACTATTAGTAGATTGTCCGTCTAATCATGAATATATTAAGTGCTCTTAATTTATTCGTTTTTTTCAGTTCACTTGGTCTTGTACAAGATCTGGCTAAATGCTGGTAATTAAAATTATTTGAATTAGTTTATATATATGTACATGGATTAATGCATTTATGGGCATGTTTTTATTTGCAGCCAACTAAATGAAACACATGCGATTATTCTGGCTCGTGGAGGATCTAAAGGAATAAAATATAAAAATTTAATCGAGTTGAATGGTGTCTCACTTCTTGCGCGAACGATTAAAACAATTCAAGCCAGCGGATTATTTCAAAATATATGGGTTTCCACTGACAACAATCGAATTGAACAAGAGGCCTTAAAATGTGCGAAAGAATATATTTCTACTTATTTCATTTTTATTCATTTTCAATTGTTTCCTCTTGTTCCACTATTATATAGCATAGATTGATTGACAAATCGAAAGGCAAGCAAAATAATCAATATATAAAATATTTAAAAATAATATAAGAAAACGTTATATAGAGAAGTAACCTTTACGCGTTTACACATACGTATGCATAATGAACTTGCCTCGACTATAGATGTGGAGTATATCTAGCTATTCTTGATCAACATCGAAATTGATTTTATCTGTTTGTTCGTTGAAATCACGACTAGAGTCGAAATATTTATTCTAAAATTTTTCCTTATTCAGTCAATCTACAATTTGGTCACATTTATTGAGAGATTTTCGCTTAGAGAGCTTTAAACTAAATCATGAATTTTTATAGTGGAAGTATATAAACATGGTGATAGTTTGAACAATCACCTACAAAACGTTGTCATCGTATACAATTATAATTTGATATCTGTGTTATATATATATATGTTCTACGAAGCGTATTGACATATTTGATATAAGCCGACTATAGCTTTTTTTGTGATAGCCTGCCTTTCTCAAACTCTAGTTCTGTTTATAGCTAAACTTATATACAAAAGGTGTACAAAAATCAGTCAATGAGAGGGAGAGCTAAGAAATTTACAAATCTCTCCCCACTGATTTATTTATTGCAGATGGAGCTCTAGTTTACAGAAGGAGCGGCGAACACGCCCAGGATAATTCGTCTTCGCTGCATGCAGTAAAGGAATTTTTAAATTCGCACACTCACATCGATAGATTTGCGTTATTCCAATGTACATCCGTATTTCTAAAGGCTCACTACATTCGAGAAGCTGTAGATAAATTTAAACAAAATCCTTGCGTCTTTGCCGTTACAAGGTAAGCGTATTAATATATCTTTTATATCCGCACCAATAGCTTACGGGATAGATTAATATTTCTGTTTAAGTCAAGGCCATCCTGAATGCACTTGATTATTAGAATATTCCACAAAAAAAAAAAAAACAAGTTGATATGGCCAAAATCGATGGGGAAGTGAGATGATAGGGATGGTAATCAAAAACTGATTCAAAATAATGTGTTTATTAAATCAGAGCACAAAAAAGAACTGAAAGTGATAGGAGAAAACAAAAACAATCACGTAATACTCTAGCTTAGCAATTCGAAATTCAATAATAATATTATTCGATATAAGAAATTTGCTCTTTATATACCCTCTGCTCCCTATACGAGATGAAAACATACAGTACCTTAATGTAAACAAATATGCATAGCATAGCAAGTATGAATAGCTCATAATTTTGTATAATTCACGTCAGTAAGTTCAATTTTTCTGTCGTGTATAACACTGTTTAGTCAGCCCTGATTTCTCCGCCTCTTTTAATCACCTTCTTATATACCGCTTTATATATACCGTATATATCCCGATAGGAATGGCGTTTCAAATTTTTACCGGAACAACTTTTCCATACGCTCCCAATTGAATAAACTGATAAAAGGAAGAAATTGTGAACTTAAGCTGTTAGACGATCTTAAATGAAAATCTATTTTTCAAAACATACATACAAGGGCAAAGCTGTATTTAGTGAATTTTATTTCATATATATTTTAGTAGCTACAAGTTGCGATGGAAACGGACGGCAGATAAAAAACTAATGGCTTTAAATTTTGATGTTACGAAAAGGCCTAGACGTCAGGACTGGAATGGTGAACTAATAGAAACTGGAATGTTTTACTTTTCAAATAAGTCTTTGGTTCAACAAGATCGCTTTCAAAATGAATGGTAAGAGTAATTTTTAGATTCTTCTAATAGGTCGAGTCATAAGTAACTTTGATTTTTCTATCAGACATTTATTCAGTTCTCAATGAATAACAAAATCAAGCTTCAATCTTTTTGCTCTCTGCTATAGCTCTTCTTGTTTGGCGTGGATTTTGCTTTTAAAAGTTTCTCCTCAAACTCGAAAGGACAGAATTTCCAGCTGCCCGCTCAGTTATCAGCTATCAGTCGTTCATCGTATACGTTGCATATTTTTTCAACGGTCGCCCTACCGTTATTGCCTATTACGTTAATTTCCGAAGCATTACATGTCGACTATGCACTTCTTGACTCTCCATTGCAGAGGTTAAGGAGAACACGCTCGACACAAAACGGCTGATAGAAGACTAACTGAATTCTCATTTTTGTAGTAAAAACAAGTGTCTGCTTGATGACTTATAGTGGGTAAATACGAACAATAGATTCTACCTATCTGCATTGGAAGTTATTTATGACTAGACCTAATAATTATTCACAATTCATTTTAGGCTATATTAAGGAAAACTTTATACAATTCAATATATGGATCTCAAAAATTTGCTCTACATTCTTAAGCCAAACTTAATCCTTGGACAGTATATGCATTGTTATATGCATAACATATCAATAATAAAACCGAAATGTTTGTCACAAGTGGTACGGAAAATGATTGTCCACCAAGCATTGGAAATCAAAAGAAGATACGCTCCCTTTCGGCTTTAGAGGATTCTCTAATCTATTATTCTAAATTTCTTTTTGAGAAACTTTACTAGTGAACAACTGTAGTTCGCTTTTGAACATTTCCATTAAGTTGGACAGTGACTTAACTTTAACATATTGTTAACACTGTGAAGCTATTCCACTTGCGCAATTATAATCAGGAGAATGTTTAGTTTATTAACTTTTTCTTTTTATTATATATATATATATATATATACATATATATATATAACTGGTAAGCCATTTCATGGTAAATAGGTCTTGTCGAAATTTCAATATTTCTTCTGTATTTGAAACTCAGTAAAAGTTATCATCATTGGGTTAAAAAGTTTTTTTTTTAATTTCATTCGTGCAGCAACTTTCAAGCCTATCTCTTAAAGCAGCTGTTCGCCTTGCCGGCCGTTTAAGATATACGGTAGGCTCTTCCCAAGTAATGTTCATCGATGTTCATGTGCTCATTTCTTATCTCAGTTAAATGTAAGAGCAGCACTGTTCAAATTTTTTTTATGTAGAGGCTGCTTTCTACTGTTTGGCTAATGTCTTCTTAATCGTCCCTTTTTTCCGATCATTTCCCGTACCTCACAGGTAACGTAATAATTGTATCTATATCTTGGCTCATCCAAATCTCTAGGACTAGATAGATATAAAAGCAGCTTGGGGAATGAGACATGTAGTATCGTCAACGGGATCAATTTCAGAAGAGCTTAGTACGCTCACAACATGTTAATGGATTCATTCTCTAAAACCCTTGATATTTTTTTTACATTATATTTTAGAGGTCGATAATCAGCGAAGTTTGGACACTGGGAGTAAGCGAATTCTACAACAACAAATTAGCAATTTTCTTCAGACCATATAGGTGGTATAAGGGTCTGGTAGTGGACAAGATAGATTTGTAGAGCGCCTGCTCTTTCGGATTTGCTTGCCTAGAACCCTATCCGATCGTTGTTTACGACTTAAGTCAACTCCAAGAATAAATTTTATAATCAGTTTCCTGAAGAAATCCCGTTATAACCCGTTGTACATTTTAATGAAAACCGGGAAGCGAAACAAAGCAGGTAATATGTAACCGCCGTTGCTCCCCTTAATGTAAGAGGTTTGTTAATAGTTGTAGATGTACGAGTGTATATCATATTTTTCCTGAAATCATATTAAAGGTTAGAGCTTTCTGAGGACGTTTTCTCTTCTTAGCAAACGAAACTCTGATATCTTCCGGTCGATGGTGATGATAAGGTTTCAATATTTGAATATTTAATTAAAATATTTAATATTTTTGCTTTGTTTTCGACCCTACGCCTACACCACTGTGCTAAAAGTATATATTAGGCCTGTGCGAAGGGCTTGAGATCAAAGCTCGTCTGCTCGTCAGCTTTGTCTCATTTTCTTATGTTCAAGGTGTAAATTGCAATTTTTAGGATCTTTCGATGCAATTTCGTACAGTGACAAGACGGACCACTTTTTCGACCACTTCTCTCATATAACGCCGCATTTTGAAAAGTCATTGTATGAATGCCTCTAGGTCGGTACGGGGCACTACAGTGCTTTCACTTCTTTTTTGATTATTTATTTATTTTTCCTCTTAACTTGGTCTTATTTGTTGCTGCCTATAACTTTGATCTGTTATCATTGCTTTATAATTAAAATGATGGGATATGCATGCTATATTCATTTGTTGCTCTATGTGAGTAAACAAGGAATCGATCGATAACCGCATAACGGCATTTTCCGAATATGCCATAAAAAGATGGGGCAATAATTGAATATATTTCCACAACCAGTAATTAGTTTTCTTATTCCTATTCTTATTCAACCACTCAAGGTCAGTTATCCGCAAAATTAGATTTTCTCATTGTTGTAATTGTTGTTGTTGTAAAGGCACTATTTTTCATATATTTATTGAGCATGTTACATTTGAAAAGGAAGTTGTAAATTTTTTTCATATTTATATTTATTTATTCGCAGGTGTGAAGTGGTCAATATAAATTCCGAAGATGCCCTTGAAATTGACACATTCAATGATATTGAATTAGCAGAGTGTCTCCTACAAACAAATTAGTCAATTATATACCATTTTCATCCATTGGATCGAATACCTACCTATATAAGTTCTGTATGAAACGCTTACCAAAAAAAAAAAAAAAAAGAATTATGAAAATATGATTGCAAACCTATCATATTTTAGTTATACGGCTCAAAGGCATAAAAAATATTTCCGTCTTTAGACAATATACAATTTAATGGCGGTGTTTGTTCATTTGCAAAAAAAAAAAATATCAAAACATTTTTTTTAATTGTTTTTTTTTTTTTTTTTTTTTTTTTTTTTTTTTTTTTTTTTAAAAAA